GCTTCATCGAACTCAAATGAGTTTTCCTCTGTCCAAATGGGTAAAAGCTTTTTAATTAAAAAAAAGTAATAGGATTAGACCCATCCGACTAACTCACTCTCGAACTAAGCATTTCTGACTATAATGAGGTCCTTTTATTAAATTATTGTCGAAAGATAGGTTTAAGCAGCGGGCGATATAGATATAGGTTTCGCCCAACAGTCACTATAACAAGGATGCTCTGGAAAAACATCGGAGAATGTTCATTAATCGGTAAAAAGCACAAGCGTTCATACAAAAAAGAAGGCCATAATGGCAAGGAAGGAAGTAAAAAGGGAATGTAAACAGACATGACAGTTGTTTTAGCGTAATTACGGTATTTCCGCTGTACTTTTGACCGGATTCAGAATTGCCAAGTGAAGGCTAAGAGCTCCAAGAGAAGCCTAAGGAAATCAAGGTACAGGTTGCAGGTGCAGGGACATACCTAGATCTCTTTTGGTACATTCGGTAATTTCAATGGTCTCTGCTTGACACCCTGTAACTGTCTTTTCCCGTGATCTTGATGCTGCTGTAACATAACCACATACTCTTTCCTAAGATGTCTGAAAGAATGTCACATTTCTCGACACGCGCATTGTTGATATTCCTTAGATACTCTTTTGTCCCTTCAGCCTGCTATTGTCTACATATCAACAAGTAGTAACTGACTTGCTCATTTTACTATCAGCCTTTATGGATGAAAAATTCTCAAACTGAAGCAACTTAATGGAATAGACCGGTCCTCATTTGATTTCCCTCTCTCTCTCTCTTTAACAGTACCAATCTTCTCAATATGGCTCAACGGTTGGCCACTACGTGCATAACCATATTATTTTAATTTAGACTTTCAGTTATTTGGCCGAACATTAGGTGTGGTGGAAAACTTCCACTTAGGTTTTAGCAGTCTTGAATATTTAAAATACCCAGATTTTTGAAGGTTGGATTGTTTGTAATACCTTTCGCCATAAAATGCCATGAGGTCAAAATTTGGCAATATCAGAAGGTATTTGTTGTGACTTTGTACAAGTTAAATTGTGCAGCGATACAATGTGCTTTGAAGCATTTGTTAATGAAGCAAGAAGAGTTAACAAATATCTGATCTTTTTGGTTGAGAAACTTCAGTTAATTTTCTAGAGTCCCGGATTCTTCAACCTTTGCACCAAAAAAAGTTTCGAAAAATAAAATAAGTAGTCCCGAGAAGTTACTTTGAGTCATAAAACCATTTAATAAATCAATAAGTAATAACCGGCCTTTAACAGGCACCGCAATGTTACATTGAACTTATACAACCCTTCTGTCACCAATTGTTTTAATTCAAACACTTCCTGTGTGCAGTTGTGCATAAAAATGTTGGGCTCTTTGAAAGTAATGTAATGGCCGTTTAATGTTCACTTGTAGATTTATGCCAGCAGACGGTAGTTAAACAGACTGCCAATCGGTGATTCAGCAGATATTTTAGAAAGCCGTTCGCTTCAACACGTCATGTCGATGTTAGCCAACATTTGGCCATTGAGCACGAATTTGGTAGCAAAGTGTCCTAACTAAAAGATTTTGTTGTTATTATTCATTAAGTATATTGAAAAGAATTGGTAAAGGAAAATTCTGCTTTTGATAATCCTGATGATTTCAGAAACACGCCTGAAACATTTCGAAATTGAAGCAGGTATTTGAGTTTAAGAATTGCGTTACAGCATGAGAAATAACACGCCCAACTAGGTGATTGGTGCGCACGAGAAACAGGCGTCGAAGGAAGGTTTGGCATGCAAACCACCTAAAAATAAACAAACGAAGCCCATTTTTATGTGTCTAAGGTGTAAACTCCCGGGAGAGTGTAAATTGTGTGCAATTTAAACCTTACTCAAGAGGCACTTTGATTTTCAGTAACCTGTTTCAGCTATTATTGCCATTTTGAACTCTGTGACTCATAATTTATGTATACAAATGCTATTACCGCATGATATCCAGAATATGTTTTGTTGATTTTGTTTGTAGCTAGTTTTTCTCCTGTTTGATCCTTACACTCTTATAACTAAGGCATCATTTCAGTTGCTTCATTTACGCCAGTGTTAACCATATCCGAGCATTATTGGGAAAATTTGGCGTTGTTTCTACATTCCTTTCACTTTTTTTCCATTAAAAACACGTTCCACATAAATTAATTAACTGGTCTCCTATATAGATAATTTTAACCCATATATTTACTATCACCAGGCTACGCACTGTCGTTTAAACTACCCAAACCATTAAAACAGTGAAAAGATTTAAACGCCGAACGCAATTTAACGTGAAGTGCAATTTACAGCGAAGGCGATAAAAACGCGTCTATATTGTATTTTGAATAAAGTGTGAGATTCAGATGTGGTTTAATGTGGTCAAAAAGTAAATCGCTTTTCAATAGAATTATTGGATTGTTTACGTACGGTTAAAAGACAACCAGGGACTAGTCTAAATTATATTCCCAAGCTCAAGTCACCTAAAATGAACCCAGTTTCCCTGGGGATAAAAACTAACGAAAGGTGACTAACTTTATCGATCACAGGCATAAAATCACTAAAAGAACTAAATATTAGCACGCTTTTTTAAAATACGGTAGGTTTTAAAAATGAGCCATGACGCCGCCAGTTTTCATCTCCACTGAATGATACTGCCATTGCCACCTGTGTGCACTCTATTGGGTGTCAGTACAAATTGAGACAATTCACTTGGACGGCTCGCATTGGCCCAAATTGCATTGCTATGACCTCCTCGTTTTTGATTGATGGCTTACACATCAACCTCGTAATACTTCGAGCGACCGTTGTTGCCCATACTTAGTCTTAGTGCCTATTACCCAAGATTTTGCACAACCGATGTTACATGTGATAATTCTTTATGTTTCATGTCCCAGTTATATTTAACAGCACACATTGACACCGATTTTATTAGGAACAGATAAATATAGGTTTCAACCATTTATAAGCCTGGCTCGAAATAATAACTCTGGATGATACAGAATACCATAGATTAGGCTTGACAAAAAATGTTTTTAATCACCTAATTCAATTTTGAGCGATTTAAGAAAGATATGAGAATAAAATTTTTCAGTGCTACAAGCTGTTTATAATCTATCCGATGTCCATAGCGCGCTCAACTACCATTATCAGGCCTACGTGCATGTATAACACCTCGCCCAAGCTATGCTTACCAGTACATGGAAGGCAGTTTATGCTCTTCGTGCGTTTGTACCTTCAAAGTCTGTTTGCATTCGGCCGATGCATGTTAACCAACGAGGTTTACGTATAAGTTGTCATAACGTGGCAAAAACACACGCTTTTTCACATGCGACAATCATTAATTTCTTCGGCAGCCGAACTAGTTGTTAGGGATCCAGGATTCCCCAAGATTGCCCATCGCCGATTTTTGTCATTACTTACATTAATTCACTAACATGTGTTTTATTACGCTTTTTATCAGGTCAAGGTCAACCTTGACTTGAATTGGTGTACACTTTTGACAACTCACTCGCATGTGGTTGACATGATTACAGCGCTCTACACGAGCTCTGGTCCTATTCTTGTCTTTGCGTGGGAAAGTCGGTGCTGGCGTCAACAAGGGATCTGGCACGGTTATCTGAGTGGTTTTCACTTTGTTACGGACAAACGTAACACTAGTGCTATTGCTCACACCACCACGCACCCCAATCGGTCCAACATGTGGGCTTGGCGCTTCGAGAAAACTCCAACAAAAACCAAATCAGTCCGTGTGGTTGGGCTTTTCCGAAGAAAAATTTCCTCGGTAAAGAGTGTCAATTGTCGCGTAAATGCACTGCGGATTCTGGAGCAGACGAAGTTAGACCGTGTTAAAAGAATTCACATTACAACTGCTAACTTCCAATTTTATTGGCAATCTGTGCTGTAAAACGGATCGACCTAGAAGCTCTATAATTAATGAGGGTAGATCAAGATTTGATTAGATTGCTTGTATTAATGAGAGTAGCACTATTTATGTTTATAAAATGCAAACTTCAAAAGTGTTCGGCTGCCATGCACCAGCATTCCACCATTTCTAATACTGAAAAAAGATAGTTAAGCATTTGAATAAGAACTATACGTGGCGATCTCGACATTAGGTTCAAGCAGATTAGAGATGTTTAATGGTACAGTATTCACATGCCCTACAACTCCCAAGCCATAGTAAACTGCCTAAATGTGGCGATGTGAAAACACGCTACTTTTTGCCTTTCAGTACAAAGAACGTGCTGCTGCTACGGACAGCCACCCCAGGTATTGACTGTTCATGATTCTATTGCTTTTCACCAAGTGAATCCTTTCAGTACAAGAGAGTTAGATTCACCTTGACAACCGAGATGTGCTAAAGAGGTGTTAGGGAAGTCAGCGTTCTCCAAGACTGTTCTTCGCGCAAATGGTTGCACCATTTCTCAGACACCCACTGACAACTCCACAAGTGCTAATCAATCTCAATTAGGGTCAAAGTTGCCCAAATAGGATAAAAGCGGACACATTTGGTCGTGTTACTCAGCTTTTGGCTGAGACGGCCGAAAGTGTTCTAGACGGGGTGTGGTCTTTTTCCGGGCACTTTGAGGGATATGCGTCTGCATTCTGGTTGTGTGATCTTGCAGACGTAACACAAGATTTCAAGCGTGATGACATTTACAACGACTTTTCAGCCAAGCCAAGGCTAAAATAATGTGGACTGAATCAATTCGCCTAAAATGCAACGTCATCTCCAAGCCCAGACCACGTTACTTAAAGTTTGAAAGTAGCAAAAAAAGATGTGGCTTCTACTGCAAAATAAAATCACGGTATTAGTCTAGGCGAATCACAGTTGTGTCCTCAAGTCCTTCTCGTCACCTAAATGTTGGTTGGCACAAGTATGCAAGTAGGCAGGAGGCAAGTCTCAGCTTCAAAACTGACAGTACATTTGCACACGCAGACTGAGAAGGAAGAGGGCACAGCGCCAGCGAAACGGAGGAGGAGAGCCCACTAATGCTTTTGCGCTGCAAGGAAACGCTGGCGAGCTCGAACCAGCATCTGTTGTCTTCTTTGAGCAATTAGCGACGACGGAGTTGGCTGCTGTTGTTGCGACGAAAGCGCATCGCCGCCTGGCGTAGTTGTCTCACCCACCTCCACATTGGGTGCTGAAGAAGAAGCCGAGGTCGCAGAGGGCAGCTAAACATTAAAACAACACGTAAATCAACAATGCAATACGTATTTCGTTCGTTACTTCGAGGCTAACCTGCCATTCACTGGGGCGTCGATGAAACAAATTGTGCAGGTGCATAGGTACGTCTCAACAGGTCGGCTTCTGATAATTCGCTTGGGAAATCAACCCTACTAGGACCCGAATCCGGAGAATATGCGTTCAGTGATTACTTTACATATTACACGACAATCCCAATCACTGAGTCAGTAAGCACGTGTGTGCGCAACAGACTTAGCGGATACTTCATGCGGCAAATGCGGTGCTCCCGATTTTACGCTACGGTACTGTCCATTTCGAATTAACTTTGGAAAGCGTTTACAGGGAACCAATAAGACACGTAATCGTACATACTCCTTAAAAATTAACTCAGACCATATAGAGGCGGCAAAAATATAAATTCAGCACAAATTTCTGGACTGTAAATCAAGTAAACTAGCAGCCGCATCTGCTCACTTCACAGAGATTCACCCCACCTGACCTCAACGTGAACAATCAATGCTTTGAGTAAAACGGCTACACCCGAAGTCGCCAAATGCACGGGCGAATTTGGCCAAACAGAAAACGGCTTTCAGTGAGAGAGCAGAAAAGTGCACGCCTCAGGCCCGTTACGTTTGGAACACAACCGCAAGTCACATTGATAAAATTTTAAGAGTCCAAATTCATCCTGTCCTCTGAGAAAACACACAGGACAATAGCCCTCTGAAGGTGAATAATTTGGATAAATTCAAGAAACTAAGAAGCAAAGTAGGCACAAGACGCGTACTTGAGCAGTGTGTCGGTTTCTGACTTGAGTTTCTCTTTCCAATTCCTCGTGTGGACTGCTATCGGAGTGTGTGGCGTGCGGACGTTCTTCGACAAGTGACCCCTCCAACAACGTCACTGTTTGTCCCGAAAGAAGGTTCTCTACGGTAGCCTCGGGCACACGGGTCACCGCGAGGTCGGCCAAAATCGCGTCCAATGGGACATCAGGAAAAGCAGCAGAAATCTGCTCGGCTTGGGCACGCAAGGCTGACGAAAGTGTTTGGATTGATGCATGGCGACGTTGGCTGTCGGAGATAGCAGCAGCAACGGCGGCTGGGAGGCGAGGTAGCCGCGAGAGGAGAGACGCTGACCTGCGCTGAGGCTGTTGGGTGACAGCAGCCGTCGGTTCTGCTGGTGGTTGATTTGTTATAAGTGGTGACACATTCTGCTCAGTCTAGAACATTACAAGTCCAAGCAGGTCAGATCGGCTAAGCGTGAATGGAGGTGTGCGTGTGTGGTTAATTTTTTAGTTGTTGAATGGTTGCTTAGGGACGATTATGCGCGTTTCTATTCGTGTTACCCATAGTTGAAAACACACGCTACAGTCGAAAACAGCTGGAAGTTGCAAGCCGTGTCGCAAAAATCCAATGTGTGCTTAGTCCTCCCAAGGCACTCGCACTTACAAGCTCACACGACAGTCCAGACAACCTTCTTCCCCGTGTTTTAAAGAATCCTGGGGTACAACCTCAAGCGAGGCTAGTTAGTACTGCAAACAGCACAATTGAATGCTGTTCAACTGATTTTTGCCTCTTTATGTACGGACTGTTTAGCGTCTTGGCACCGTTTGGTGACACTAAATACAAAAATAAAATGACTTGAAGACCCTAAACCGTGCTCCTTCCAAATCAACACAGTAAATGTCGCCCATGTGAAAGAAATCAGTGCAAAGCTATTTGCCACGTGACAATTGAGAGAGTGAAGGTTCAGTGCTACTGGCGTTCAAATGAGACCAAAACGTCGCAATTCAACTCGCCAGAGTTCGTAAATTGTTAAGTATCCCGCTGTTTTGCACAACTTTGCATAAACAATGGGTCAATACACCTAAAGAGTAGATCAAAGCTGTTACAAGGGATCCCAAAGATAGCCAGCAACTACACATGGCAGCCACGTTTAAGTCAGGAAGAGAAAGAGCCCCAAATTGAAGCGGAAAGTTGCATAACATGAACCGCCTCAGAGAATATAGGAAGTCTCAGGAAAAAAGGTAGAAGTGTGAATGTTTTTTGATTGGTAAAGTTGAACATGGGGGCAAAAAACGACCCTGATATCCCCATAAGAGGCTAATAAGTGATACGTTTTTGCATGTTAATATAAAGGAAAGCAGAGCTTCATGAGTGCAAATATTTGAAAAAAAATACCGATATTATACCATTAAGAAAGTTCAATGAGAAGAAAAACTGGCCGACACCTGCAATGCCTGAAACTTAGTAGACCCAACTAAACTATTGTGCCGCATAAAAATAAAAACATTAACTTGGGTTTTTATCATTCGTTCATTAATCATTCAGTGCTTAAGCCTAGTAATCGTAAGACAAATGGTGACTGTTCGTGTCCAGAGGGGGGCAACGGTAATCTAAACAAGCGAGCACGCCGAAATCATGGTACCGTAGCCTTAAACAAAGGTGCTTAAAAGAAGCCTGATAGACATTTCTGTCAAAACAGACTAACCGCGACTGAAAATGGTGATTGGCAAGGCACTGTAGGGCTAAAAATAGCGTACCTCCACGAATTCAATGTCAATTGTTGGCAGCCATGATAGGTAGTTCGATCCATCGAAGTGGTAGATGCGGCTATGGGTAGTTGACTGAATAATTTGAGTTTGTGGTTGCTGGTCAGGTGATGCTACCGGATTCCCCTAAAATGTAAAAAGTACATTGTAGAAATACAAAATTTCCGCATAATAAGACCAAGTGACTGGTATCAAAAGAAAAACTGAAGCTATATACTTTTGGGTTAAATTTTTTAATATAACTTGGCTGCCCACCTTTTACGACAATTATATGCTATTTATTTTAAATGATGGTGCTCATATCACAAACGACAAACATCCACGTCAACAAAGTAACCACAAAACAAATTGGAAGAGAAATTTTCTTAGACAGCAAGTAATAAGCTTGAGCATTGAGCAACCCAGCAACAAGAGGCACCGGAAATATACTTGTGTACGAAGACTGGGAACAAAACCAAAAAATTGCTTTCTAAGAAACTACTGTAACAGCGAAGCACGGTACAAATCATCCCAAATCGTGGTGAGATCCAGATAAATTAGTTCACTAACGAACACACGGATAAGGTTCCAGAATTTTTATAAAAGAGCCGAGTAAATATACTTCATCATGGACTAAGAAAAAGTACTAAACAACGTGCGACTTACCCCATGTACTTCAGCAGAAGGTTGCGGCGTTGTTTGAGGTGCTGGTCTGCTTGGACCCAGACTAATGTGAATGCTGACATCGAGTGATCGTCCAGGAGCCCGAGTGTTGCGATCGTTGGGCGCAACACTACGCTGCCGAAGTCGCAAAAATACACCACGAACAGCACGTTGATTTTCCGCATTTCGTTGAGGTAAGCCCGCAGCGTTCTCTCTACTGAAGAAGTTGATCACATCGCGCAGTGTGTTAAAGGCTGGTGGTTGTCGTACTCGTTGTTGGGCCCGAGGACGTGGAGTCCGAGGAAGAACGGGACGTCTGCAGGTGGGGCAACTTGGGTCTTCCTCGATCCACATTGTTAAACAGGTCTCGTGGAAACAGTGCCGACAAGGCAGCTTACGCCAAGTCCATAATAACTCCCAGCAAATTGCACAAGTTTCGGGTTCTGTCGACTTGTGTTCCCCCAAATCATCAACTCCATTAACAGTCTAGATAGGATTAAATTTATTCAATATACGTGGCATTACTAGGCACCCATTCAAAAGCTAGCGCCTAGGAACAATTTTGCGTCATCTTGAGTCATAAATTATCAGAAATTAAAACTACGGAAGGTGGTGGACACAAAAATATTTTAAAGCTCTAGTGGTTTTTATACTTTCGTCATACTAATGTAAAATAAAATATATACTTTCAGGGAATTCATTTTACCTTACGGTCTATTTGTTCCAAAGGAAATTCTCGACGGATGATTTTTACAAGATTTTGGTAAGCAGAATGTCGGCGAAGGCGTTGAGCTAAATCACCATAACTCACAATAACTTGAATACAAACAACAAGGCTTGTGAGAGACGCTAGTCGGCTCCAAATCAACATATGAACATGGTTTGAGAAGTCAAGAGTTAGGCAGATAACATCAAATATCAGGCTGACGTTGTAGAGCCAGATGGCCTTGTCAAAGAACATTTTCTTATGAATCCACTTGGTGCCATCTAGCTCATTAACAATAATGATGAGAGCAACTTGAAGCAGAAGCAAAAGGACATTAGCAGAATCCGAAAATATGAATATCAGTGTGTGAAGAATTTGATAGAAATCTGCAGAGCTGTCCTCAGGATAATCAGCAACACCCAGTTGGTTTAACTGGTCCTCATTATGATAACGCGACCCTATTTCACCAAATATATCAGCTTCTGGAGTCAAATCTGACAAATAACGGCAAAATTTAACACCAGATGAAAGAAGAGCCACAGTGCCGCAGGTTAATGCAATGAGCATACTTCCGAACCGCAGCCATTGACGAATTGAGGTTGAATTCCGAGCAATTAGTTGTTCACAACGAAGACGTGCCAAGCAGGCGAAGCCGTGCAAACAACCAAGACATCCAAACCACAAAGTCCACCCCATTAAGCTACTCCATTTGGCAGCATTTATGACACCTATTAAAAAGACTGCCCTTGATAAAGCAAAGTGCATAGATTTTTCGCGTATACAGCGGGGCTCTGTTCCAACAAGAGGTCCAAAGAAAAACTGTTGGAACATTTTTACAATGGCAATTAGGAGAAAAAATACCAAGTTAAACACTGCTACCACAACGCAATTATCCCGCATTGCACTTTCTAACGAACGGACGTGTCTCCCATCGGCTGAACTGCCATATTCATCTGTTTCAGGAGAATAATAAGAGGCGCACCTCCATAGAGCAAAACAAGAAAGTAAAAAGGAAAAAACGCCGTATAGGATTAAGCGAGATATCGGCAGTTGTGAACAGAGAACAATCGCCATCGCTGCATCTGGATGTGTATAACAGAATTATTTCAGAAAAGAGGTTAGGTTGTCACACGTTAACTGAGATATTGCATTGATTGTTCACTATGGACGTCTTAAAATTTCAGGAAACAACTGGAAAAAAAGAAATCTAACAATGAGCGGTAACACAGACTGATGCCATAAATTGTCAATAAAATAATTGGTTGATTCGAAGGTCAGCCCAACGGACTCTAATTAGCAATTCGTCTGATTACTAAAGTAGTTAACAGGCTCGAAGGAGAACTACTGAAGTTCAAAGGACCAAGTACTTACGTAAAAATTGCAGATTAAGGTGTAAAAATATATCGATAAAGATCTATGTTAGGGGAATGTTCAGAGTGATCTGAGTAACGGGAACTTTATAATTAGTATTGGATTTATGTAAATGCAAGTGAGGTAAAAGGAGAATAGAACTGCGGCTTTTTAATAAAAAAAATTAAAAATAACCAAAAGACTACTATGAGATTTACCGTTAGCATGAGACAACCAATGCAAACAACAGCACAATTGCTATTTTTCTGCAATGTATGTGCTGTATCTGAAAAATCGTATACTACGTCGCTTTAAAGGAACGGCAATTAATTTACTACATTAAATGCCAATGGCTTGACTTATATAAAATTACAATCACTTAAAAACTGAGAACAAATACGTTTTATATAATATAGGACTATTTATTTAAATATATGCTATATATGAGTGTAATGTCAGCGTAAGCATTATCGCAATGCGAATTGCTTTCAAATTGAAAATCTAACTGTGGCAACACATCAAATGCAAACTTATTCTGGAGGCTCTACGTGGTAGGATGTAAATGATAATTAATAGCAGATGTTCTCTTTTCAACGCATAAGTGGCAAAACTTCGTAAAAACATGATGATTAATTTACCTTATTTGATTGACGGAGAGGGGATCTCAAGAATCAACTAAACTGGTGTTCAATGAAGGTGGAAAATTTAGATTAAAGGGGATAAACGCCATTGTCTGCTGTCACGCCTAAACTCCGCAAACTATAGAAAATTCATCATATTCCGCTAATGGAAGCATTTTGGCACAATTGGTATTATTTATTTTGCAAATTTTTTGTAAATTTGGTTCGAATTTGCACTGTAAGTAAAGAAAGTTACTTTCTAATGAATCAGTTTCTCTTCAACCGTTGACACTTGTTAAGGATTGTAATTAAATTCATACTTTTTGCCGCGCAAATAAAACGCTTTCAAGAAACATTCATGTGATATCCCTATTCAAGCTCAATATTTTGAAGCAGTGGCTTGTCAGCTCAGCAGAAAATCAAAATTTGGGTTTCGCCCAGTTAAATCTTTTTTCAAACCAACGTGGAGTATTACTAAATGCAATTGCTTGCAGTTTAGCTGCACTATGTTTATATTACATAAAAGCCCCTAATTTGTCGTATGATTATCTAAATGCCGTGGATGATTAAGATAGTGCAAATTTCAATTAACAATGTGGTCTTAGACATTAGTTTCTAATAGCGGCAGGAGAAAATCCTCAATAATTGCACAAATGAATTGAACTAGGCACTTCGATGCATTGTTCGTTACTTTGCAATGTATTCTATGCTGTAATGGGGCAGAGATTTGTGGCTATGGTTAGACCTATTAAAAAATACCAGGTATTCATTTCAAACACACTGATTGCTCAACAGTATTTATGTTATTTTTTTTTCAAAACGTAGGAGCATACTAGAGCAAACTGATCTACTTCAATAACCACTTGTGTCTTTAATTTGCCTGTTTTCTGTAGAGAAAATTTTGTGAAACCGTTCCCTATATTTCCAATTTTTTTGTCAAATTTATCCAATCTAACGCGGTTCCCCACTGATTGTAGGTATTATTAAGAAAATATTTCAAAATGTGCAAGATATGAAATTCTTGCATCGAACATCAAATACCTTATAACAACATGATAACTTTGAGCATTTAAATTTAACATGTACACAGACTTCCACGTCACCAATAAAATGTATTTCCATCAGTCAGGTCGGCGATAATGACGATGATTCGTGTGTCTATGTGGATATGGATCCTGTTCTTCTTGTGTTGACGGTCTTGCTATGCTCTGTTGCGGCTTTCTTATTGCTGGCTGAGGCTCTATCTTGGTTCCGTAAGTATATAATACTAGTAATTCAGACATTTTGGCATACGAACGTCTTTATAGTCTTCTTTCGCACGCCTGGTGGAAACTTGTATCCCTATACGTATTCCAATGTCCTTCATTTCTCCAGAATTAAATGTTTAAGATGTCTTGTGTGAATTTTGATGTGTAGACGTTTATTTTTAATTAGTTAAGTGCACACATTTTGGCAAACATGAATCCTAGTGATGGTCAGTTAAACCAGAATGTATTGCCTACCGATGAAATTGTGGACTGCAAGACTAAGTTATTGTATTTGGCCTGTTAGGTCGTCCACGATTAGAAAAGACGCAAAAAACACCGGGTAGCCGTCATGTAGGCGGCGCACTAGCTCGTCGCCGTCGGCAGCAACGGGCTGGCACATCTACAACCCCCCAACCCTCTCAACTAATGACGGAGTCTGACTTCGAGTCTTTGGAAAGTGGTGGTGACGAAGAGACATCAGAGAATTCCGGTGATGCTGTACACGTGGTGGAACCACTCAAAAAGAAAATTGGGACGAAGAAGGCACAAAAGTTGGCAGAAAAAGAGCGCCGGAAGGAAGAGCGCGAAGCAGAAGAGAGATACAGAGAAGCACTGCGAAAAAAAGAGGACGAGGAGATAAGGAAGAGGAAAGAGGCCGAGGCGAAGGCTGCAGCAGCCGAAGCTGCTCTCGTAAGTCCGTTGGCCATTTTTAAATTGGACTAGTGACCTTCTTTGCAGCATCCCTTGCATGAAGACCATGACTTAGAACCCTTAAGTTAGGATCCGCATTGTTATGTCACGTCTTCCTTTATCATTTTAGTCCAACAGTACTATATATTTGGTCATTTCAAGCTGTGAGGTTCAAATTAACGAGTGTAACCAGGTTTTGTAATCGACCGATTGTATTGATGTCATTAAATTTTCAAACATTTGTACTTGATTGTAAATTAACGCTGTTTGTTAAACTGACTGAGTGTTGAACGTTAGGTTCCAAATAAATGCAGTTTCTTCTGAATCTCTTCTTGCAGTCGCGAACATTTTTCTAGACTTCTGCTTCTCTCTGTCAACCCTTCTACTAAACCATTTTACAGCACTTGAACAATTAGCAGCCGATGTTTTGTTTTTCTTTGTAGGCTGCTGCTGAAGAGAAGCGGAGACTGGAACAAGAACTTAGGGAACAAGCTGAGTATGAAAAACTCAAGGCAACCTTCTCGATTGAGGGCGAGGGTGTTGGCGTTAAGCAGCTGGATAAGGAAGCTGAAGAACAATTGAACAGGGAATTCGTTGATGCCATCAAGGAAGCCAAAATAATATCTCTTGAGCGTCTTTGTATTGAATTCGAAATGAAAACTGATGTGAGTTTTATGTCAGAGTTGCTGTGCAGCTTGTAAACAACCCTAGTCATTGTTCTCGTTGCTTAAAAATCCGGAGCTTGACTTCGTATTCCTTAATCAGGGCAATTGTCGTTTCCTAGTTCAAAAGTTTGTTTAGCATTCTTAGACCATGTCTCGCCAAATATCTAAAACAAGGTTATTAATGTCATTACAAATGCCTTTGCAGCAGAGCCATGGGGTAAGTTTTTGAATCGAGTCAAATTTTTTGCATAGTTTTTAACAATGATCTTAAGAGTGAGCCAAGCTATCCCTTTTAAAAAAATTTTGGGCTTTGAAGCAATTTTTAGTTTGCAAATAATGTGCAGTTAAAATGAAGGACATAGAAATGGGACTGTTTCAATGCCATTTTTTCACGCTGCAGTGCTTCCTCTATAAAGAAAATTTTGTGTGTCAGAAGCTGGAGATTTCCCATTTGCCATGCGTTGCTATTTTATCTTTGTAGGCCTGTGTGGAAAAAATCAAATCACTACTTTCAGAGGGATTGCTAAGCGGTGTTTTAGACGACCGTGGCAAATTTCTTTACATAGAGCAGTCGGAGTACGAAGCAATTGCGAAATTCATTGAGCTACGTGGTCGTGTAACAATCAGCGAACTCGTTGAACATGGCAACAGGATAATCAAAGCCCGCACCTCCGGTTGAAAGCAAAGCAGGGTGACACTCTGACATATGTCTTTTCTACCCAAACAGAACCTTCTCATCCTGTCTATGGAGTTCCATTCTCATCCCATGTCGGGTTAAGGTTATGATGGTAAATTACTTGAATTGTTACGCTTAACATGAATCTATATTCTGTCACCACATCGTGCATATTTGTAATCTGCGTAGGCAACGGAGGTTTAACTGCATCATGTCATTTATTTCGAACAATTTTTCACACGGATAACCACGCCACTGCTTGTTGCAGCTAGCCCCGAGAATACCCTCATTCCACAGGAAATTATATTATTAGGCAACTGGAAAATTTTTTGCTCAGTATTTAGATGTGGCGGAAGAATACACCTTTTACAAAGGTGATGTGCAGCGTTAGTACATGAAATTGAAATTGGAAGGTCACACTTTGTCATGCTATGCTCCATGAACTTGAATGGGGTTGTCTTGGGACCGCATCAGGACATAGTTTAGGCCTATGTCTTGTGACAAATTCTTGAGCACCTTCCAACTTTATCCTCCTTTTAGCAAGTCAAAAATCACGAATTACTACTGAAAACAGTGTGGACACTGTTGAGATTTTGACTGGATAAGAAGTTGAAAACCAACTTACGGCTATGTAGCCTCCACGAAGAAGAAACAGTTGGGATGCAGTTACATGAATGATGGATGGTACACTAGTAACTAGTATGAGCTATTTGTCACGGCCTCGTGTTGTTACCAAAGAATAAGTCGACTTGTGCTTCGATAGCATTGAAGCAATACCAAACATAAGCTTGCGGTCGTAGCAGTTCATTTTAATGGAGCCAGTTATATCACAAGTGTACTTTTATTTTCGTACAATTGTTTCTTATTCACTTTAAACAATAGTGCATAACAATTTGTCAACATGTACAAAGAAGAAAAATGAAACATTCGAAAAAAAACAACTAGTGCAAAAGAAGGTAAAGTTGGTGTAAAATTATCACAAGACGAGAGTTGTAGGTGCGGACACAGCCTTGAACATTACGGTGCTGGGTTGTGAGGGCGCAGTGCTACTGGAGCTGTTCCGGGCCACACAGCGCAGTCAGGTGCTTCAGTATGGACTCGTATACCGGGTGGTTAGTGGAGTTGGATGCAGACGAATGCGAGTGATTCCGGTTGCCAAGAAAACGCCGTAAAAGACTCGGTCGACTGACTTGATTGTTGACTGTGCTGTACTGAACAGTCAACCGTTTAAGAATACCGGTCTGAAGGAACCCCTATCAAATAGGAACGACGGTTTTAGCGGTGACTAGTTATTCCTTATGGCCAAAATTCAGATTTAAGCTGTATCCGAAATCGTTTCAGTACAACTACAGAGGTCCCAAAAGTGCATGCACGTGTCTACAGTTACCAAGAGCCACCGTTTTACCTGCTTTAAGGTGGGTTCCATTTCAAAAATCCTTCGAAGGGCACCCAAAGCAACTTCTTGAACGTCCAAAGAAGAGTCGGTGCATGCAGATTCTAGCAAACTATATAAAAGACATTAAGATAAATGTTAACTAAAGATTAAGTAAACACATAAAAACCTACCAACTGATCATTCGAGTGTCAACGACAGCGCCAATTGTCAAGGCATGCACAAGCTGGCATTCGAAGAAACCTAAAGGAAAGAGGATCTTGAAGCTCGTATTTCGAGAGTACTGCAAAAACTCCGTCCCAGTTGGACTGTTTTTATCACTGACGACTTGATCAAAGTAATAAAGGACATACGACATTCTCAAAACATCGATGCATCACTATAGCTGGTTGATCGTAAACGTTACCGGGGACCTAGGCCGTAAAGCAAAAAATAATGTAGCCGTTCAGTCTATACAACAATGCGTTTGCTCATGGTAGTCCGCAGTTTATTTTACGCGCAACTAACGAAATTCTGCTATTCCGCACCTACGATGAGACAGAAGTGTATTCAGTTATTTGCACTCCACAGATCTGCACAGGAGCATTCCTACCAAAAGGCATGTTGGGAGTGTGGGCAAGAAAATTTTCCAATAAAAGGAAATCACTAGAAATGGACAGTTTTGCGAAAAAACCGCGTTTTCATATTTAATGCTTCATTGAAAAGTGCCTTCAACTTACAACACGCTGCCATTCTGACGGACGGGTGTTGGTCGGCACTCAACAAGGTTTCCAGCGTGGTGGTCAACGACGAATCAGATTTTATGGCTGTCCATCGAGAGGTGAAGACAAGGAGCGTCAAGGCATAGTAGCGGATCGCGGTTATTGAATTGCCTAGGTAGTCTTTCCCTTGGAGGACTGGAAAACTGCTTGCAGCAAAGGAGGACAATACTTGGTTGTCCGGCGTTGATGGGGCCAGAGTGTTGTCGATAATCACAAACATCGATACGAGGGTTGAAAGAGACCATATCATCGTTGACGGTGACTGTCCTTGGGCTAGCAATCGCTTTAAAATGGTGATGCTCTTCTCCTCTAAATGATAATGCAGGAAATACGTAAGAGACTGCAATTGTTTTGCCACCTGGCCAGAAACCGTTAGCGATTAAAAACACCGGATAAACTGAGACAATTAATTCAAGTAAGTGACATTTTTAGTAATCCTACAAAAAATTTTGGTCATCAAGGAGGGTAACCTCACTGCTAAGAGTCAGCGCCTTATGCTTACTTCTGCCTTCTCGCAAAATCTAGTTTATTTTACGAACAAAAGCAGCTCACCCTCCATGATGGAAGTGATCGAAAGGACGAACTGCTGGAGGACGGTGCACGCCACATTTCTGCCTTCGGTGAAAGTGGAACTGGGAGGATTGCTCGCAGGAGCATTTGAATCGATTACTTTGAACAGGAGTTGAGAGAGGAAGGCACAGGCTGATGTGAATAATGCGGTGTCAGAGGACGATAGACCATAAGCCATCAGCTTTACAAAATTCTAAAGATGATATTAAAAATTTGGATGAATCGATAGTGGGGAACTGGACCCAATGACTCGTTTTCCAAAAGGAAATTAAAATGCTGGATATGATGTATACTAACGAGGCACGTGGATCGTGAGGGACTGAAAGTACGACGCTTTCCTATTTGTCGAAACCACAACTTAGACGGTGGGTCGCAGTACTCCACCTATGAAATACAAAAAACAGCTTTGCATTCGAGCATCCGCCTCTCCAGGAACTTTGAGGCCGAAAAATGGGAAAATTGCAGTCCTCGCTCGGATTTTTGAAACCAATATAAGGATATCACTTCAATACTTTGGTAGTGATGCCTATAAAACTGTATTTATTTTAGCTAATGCCGTCCGATTGTGGGATTGGATGAGGTTTCGCATTATAGATCTGATACTTGCTTCCAGATATGCACAATCGTGATATACAATACATAGTCAGGTCGAAGACGGTTTTTTTTCATTTAAAGTGAAATAACCAGTACAATATTTCACCGGGAATTTCTCTCCGGGTTTGCTTTGAAGAAGAAGGCCTTTCGAGTGAAAGGACACTCAAACAGCAGTGGGTTCCGTTGGCAGTTTTCTGAACAAGGGAAAGTAGCTGATCTTGAATTATACGTGAGCTAATCATGTACCAGGAATGGTTTTTTTACCACGTTGCGCCTAAAAAAAAACAAGAAAAGAAAGAACGAAATGATACTCAAAACTAACGGGGTTGACACTTCCATCAGCCGCCTTCACTACTGCTACAATTGACTCCAGAAAAGGCTCAAAGAGCGGTGCATTGTCAGTAAAACGCGTCTCCACAGTCCAACGACGCTCACCGGGGCACCCCGAGAGCCCCACGATAAATGGGTGGTCAGTGCTGGCAGACAGGTTCATTGAGAGACCTCTGGACGCCATGTCGAAGTAGAGGCGAAGGATGCTTTTTGCCCGCTCGGAAACGGCCGCAGAAGCCTTGGCAGAGCTTGCAGTGTGCATGGCAAGTTGACCCAGTGTTGCGAGGGTGCCTCTTGTGGCGAATGCCCTGTGAATGAGAATGGGCACATCATGGGAAGACTCCATTCCCAATTACGTCACAACGCAAGTAAAATGCACAGCAGTAAACTTGGACAGCACAAGTTGATACAAGTGTGGATATACAAGAACCGTTATCTAAATACGAGGTTTAGTCATTATGTAGAAGGAAATTGTACGATTGAATAAAACAAGCATAGGCACCGCAGATAACTGCTACAAACAGCAGTTAATGAAGCTCCGAAGCCCGACATCTGCAAATCACTGCGTTGACGGAAATGGTGGGATAGCTAGTCTGACCGCATTATCATGAATGTTAGACCAGAGGTAACAAGCCCTAAGCAGGACAGAGTTGGAGCCTGCTTTGGAACAGCGGTCAGGTAAGGTAATTTCACGTATAACTCCACGGAGATGCCAATCAACAGCCCTTTTCATGGGAAGCATACAGAGATTAACAAACCGCGTGGGACCATAGTCTAACGATAGCGCCGAGTTTAAGTGTACCTTATTGGCGAAAGACAATGCATTCGGGTTTTGAACGGATGAAAATTGGTTAGGGTCGTGTGTGACTGCATTGCGTCAATATATTGGGTTGAATAAATTGTGATGCTTTTTTGAAGTCAAGTAGGGATCATAACTAATTTGTGAGTGATCAGTGACTACCGAAACCCGTAAGAAAAAGGCTAATTCTTGACATAAAAGGCTGAAATAAAAAATGGGCTTTTACAGAGAGACTGAGTCACTTCCGAAACTGACGGCACGAATTAAGATGGACTACTAGACTGCTGCCTGTGGGGGGAATACTTGGGTTATTGACTATAGCTAAAAGACAGAATAGGTTGAGCAAAGGTGTTTTTTTTTAAATTTCGCCGACTAAATGACCCTGACCCTCCGGGTTTCGTTTACGGTAAATCACGTCAAAGGGAGTTCCGATGATTTGCTGATAGTGGACCTTTTTCTGATTGATGGTTAAAGAATAAGTTATGCCTCATAATTATGATCGATGCAGAATAGGTTGACGATGCTGATTCATAAGTCAGAGAACATTAGATCTCAAAGTAGTGCTAGTCAACAGCGTTTGCTTCGACCGGCGTCTTAGGCCCCCAGGGTAGAATCGAAAACCGACCATTGTCCGCTGTGGGCCAACCAGTTCGTTCGGAAAAGAGAAACCCTAATCAATTAGACGTCTGGAAAGCCAGGGGTTTCATTGACATTTTTGCGTAATGGAGTAGAAAAGTTTTGCACAGAAGCCGCAATTCAGCAGGAGTTTTTGAGCTGTCGACGACAAAATTTGAGCTTAACACGCAAAAACTCCCCAGAATATTGCAAATTTGCGCGCACCAAGTTACACCGGCGAATAGGGCTGGTGAGCGTTTGTGCACTTTTGCAATTCTGGTGTAAATTAGGCGCTCGGTTCGCAAAAATGAGAAACATGAGTTGACTTCGCGGCTATACTTAGTAAAACACATGAGCAAAATAACTGCAACGACTAAGCGTAAGAAAACGATGCAGTATAATTCCATGCGGATAGATTTAACCTGACACGCAAGACCAACTGAAAGTTTCGCGAAGCTCAAGAAGAGATTCGACGAAAGTAATTCAAAAGACGGCAGCTTAAGTATACTGTTGGATTGTATAAGTAGTATGATGAAAAGTCATTCGACAGCACTCAGAGGCTCTACCATACGCAGATTCATTGCCTACTGAATCATCCATAAGGAATTGCCAGTGTCGTATTACCCGGATTAGCCAACCATTGATGTGGCTTAAAGTCCGCTTAAAAAATTCCCTTCGCGTGACGAGTTATCTGCCCCAATAAAAAGGGTAGTTCCAAAGTTTTCCAGGTCCTTCTTGTGCCACAGAAGGACGACTTTGAGACGCAAGCTGTGCCAGTTTACAGAGTTAGAGTTACCGAATCACTGAATGAGTTAAGCAATCGAATGACCTCGACAGCACTTTGAAAGAATGGTTAATTAAGAGTACCGGTAGGAAAATTGACACACAAGCCACGTCAGACAGAAAACACATTCACTGTTTATCGTCAGGGAGACTAGACAGAACGGCTGGGCACTTGAAATGATAACTCGCACAGGTTTTGCCCCATCGTCAGCGGAATTCGCATAAAATAGCAACTATGGAGAACTTACCGTAATATAACCGGAAAGTACTCCGAAGTGTTCGCGGTGCTTAGTGGCAACTCCAGTATGTTCACAGTTGACTCTGTAATGCTGTCGAAGTCTTTGTCATCGCTATAAGAAAATGCCAATATGGTGACAGGCTTCAAAAGTTACTCCACAAAAACGAAAGTAACCCCAACGTACCCCTGATGCATTACAGGCCATGAAAGAAGAATGTTTAGGCATGAAAGGGCATCACAGTTCTCATCACGAAGGGCGTGGAACAGGAGGCGCGGTTCCTACAATGAATGCGTTTTAATACAATGAGATTGTTACAAAGTAACGATGATGCTTAAACTGAACGCTGAAAAAGGTGTCGCTTCCGTGAAAATTCAACCGACGTTGGAATTTCTCATAAAAAATCTCCATGTGGTTCTCACAGAACTCACAGGTTAAATTCTACCCCTGCTAACACAGCCAAGTTTACACGCATGCTGACCACAATGTCCCCTTCTTCCATGTCAATAAAAAACTTTATTCTTGAACTTAACCAAACACCTGAAATCGATCACGAGGCATGGCGCTTGGCTGCCAGTTCACGAATTTATGAATACTTCGCAGAGAAATGACGATAAGAGACAAAGCTTAACGCAGTTATCTCTAGAAAAATGGTTTAAAGAGTGTGCAACTACTAGGAGGATTGATGAGAGAAAAATTAACACATTCAGATGGGCACCTGATCAGCCAGTTTGAGGATAAGGTGTAATGCGTGATTTAAGCCGGCAATAGAGAGTAAATGCGAGTCGAGCAGAGTCGCAGATTGCTGAGGTGAATCGCTACCAGACACCGCAAACATCTGTGATATTGCCGGCCAAAGTCGCGACCACAATTGTCCTTCTATCAGATGTTGCATTAACGAGGCGCAGAAGTGCTAAAATGCACAGAAATTGGGCAACATAACTTGGAGAAAGCGTAACAAGGTGAACAGTAACGGCATTAAGATTGAAACAGTAAGTTGTAATTTAGGTGCAATTCAATGGGGTTGGTTCTATCACAGGCCTGAGTAAAGGAGTCGCTGTTAGTGTTGGAAACTTTGCTTTGAATTCGTTAATCCATTTCCCTAAGAGGTACCCTTGATTGAGAGTTAATCGCGTCTGTGATGAAAGGGCTAGTGTGGACGATCCAGTGAACTCGCTAGCCTGTCACCGGCAAAAATAATACTTTTGGATGTGCTCGAAAAAAAACCAACAACTCACAGGATGGGCGGAGCACAAGTCGACCAGTTCGAAGAGGCCGTCCAGCCAACCTGTTCCACAAGGCCAGTGGGTCTGCGGAAGGCCGAAGAGAGCCATCGTCTCGTCCGACCGGTCGTGGGCGCTAACGGTGGATGACGAGGCAGACTGCTGAACTTCCAACAGCCGTTCCCTAGATTCTCGATTTTGCGCCAGTGGACTCCTCAACACGAGAAACAGCACCCTGGCCAGGTCGCGGGGCTCAACGACTGGAATCAGCGGCTGGTAGCGCATCAGCTGAGCCAAAAGCAGCCCCATTGCGGCCTAAAGTCGCAAGAGATATCTATTTCAGTAGGTATACTTACAACAAGACTTAATCTTAAAAAGAGAATTGAGGTTAACAGCGAAATGTATTCGGCCTATTACAACAGTATGAATTCTTGCCATAATGCACCCATTTCGCAACACAACGTGTTTTTTATAGTTGTTCGCATGATCGGAATAAAACAGAAGACATCTAAGAACCTTGTAAAGTAATATTTGAGCTAGAAATTGAGAAAAATTTAAAACAGCCTCAAGTGAATGTGGAGGCAAAATAATATCAACACACAAACCGCATCTGATGTCAAGATAACACGAATTCCTAGAGCGGAATATGGCTTCGAATTAAGTTTTGCCTGCAGATGCAACTTATTAGAACACATCCGGCGCAATTTAAATGACAAGAGTAGCTTACTCGACATTCGGTTAACTCATCTACAGTCAGCTGAGGAGTGCATGTTTCACGAATGACTCAAGCAGTTGCGCCAACATAGACCCTTTGATTGAAAGTCTACGACGACGCAATGCATGCACGTGACGAATACACAGATCGGAGACGGGAAAAGGCTCAATGGCACTCTGGGCTAATGACGCGATAAGGAATTGGAGACACTTTGTAAGAAAGCACAAATGCGAAAGAGGAGAAGACTTTGCTTCAGTGGCACACATTGTACATTAATGAATGCGGTTTGCAGAAACGTGCTGCGGGGACAAACTTACCGCGTGGTTAGGTAGCTGTGAGCGCATAAAGAGGGTGGAGAGTTTCTTCACTTTCAACGAGATTCTAAAAGGGTGGGAAGTAGCACAAGTGATCGAAATCGATACAATCTTGGGAACATATTTAGCAGTAACATGTACCGATTTGGGTTAACTACTAAATGGGCAAGTGATGAAACACGTAATAGCTAAATCAAAGTACAATTGCCCCTCTTCATACACACACAGTGGAACTTACGCGTTGGGGATCGACCGCAGCATCATTATTAAGCAGCTGAGTGAGAGGATGGCAAGTTCGATAAGTTGGACCGTTTTCGGTTGCGTTTCCTGCAACTTAATTGAGTAGCAAATTAGTAATGGCATCCAAAATCTACTTCAAACATTGAACTACCAAAAAGACAACAGAACATCAACTAGTAATATATTAAAGCGCAACCCTTCAGTAAATGAATACTTACAAGGAATTCCAAGATTCCCATTAAGTTGTCAATGTATCCAGAATCATCAGAAGCCAGAAGAATTGCCAATGAAGGAGAATTTTGCATGCATTCGTAGAGTATCTGCAAGCAGCAATAAAAATGCATTTTTACGAGAATATTGACAGAGAGAAAACGTGCATATCCGCAAACAAGCTAAACAATGCTGTGGTTGGATTTAGGACTGTGGCTTTTCCAGGCCATGGTTGCTGCATGCAACTAAACAAACCCATCTTACATATTGGTCATTAACTCTTTCACTAACGTCAAGCATCAGAAAAGTGCATCTTGGTGGCGCACATTCAACAGGTATTTGTACTACTAGATTTCCGGGGCGTCACCCAAACGATGAGGACAGCCCACACAAAACGCAAGTCTGTTACTCATAGAAAATGAGCGATCATAGATGCTTACACTTGCGGCCACGGTGCAGACTTTGGTCTCACGGATGCCACAAACCAACGTTTGAAGGTACTGCTTCATATGGCGGTCGCAGAGACGCGATCCAATGTACGACGCCATCTGAAAGTAAAACGAAGGCCACACTGCTTGAGGCGGGAGAAGTTTATGATAGAAACGCCCACTATAAAATAAAATCACCGCCTGCAAAGCCTATTAAAGACCAAATGGGAATTGGTACAAACGAAGGACGTATACATAGTTATCCTCGTTCTTTTTTCTCTTGCTTATTTAATGCATTCATTCTATACATTAAATGTAAGTGGGTTGGCATTAGCATACTTCCTAGCATTTCATATGTGAACTGAGAAGCTTTTGTCTGTTTGACAAAAGACGTGCTAAAGGTATTTCACAGGTAGAAGTTGGGGAAGAAGTTGCGTTAAGTGTTATTCCATTTCAACGAGCGTGAGACTAACAACAGTATTTCCTTTGCATTAATTCATTTAAAAAATCCTATATAGCGGGCAAACACTTTCCTAATACAACTGTTCATTCGCACAAAGCTTCGTGTACTCTTGTTTAATGTGGTTTTGGGACAAGACGCGAGCCACACATTCCATCCAGCAGTCGCCGAAACGAAGGTCGACTTGCTTAACACCATCTGGCCAAAACGTTTGAAGCAAGGTGTGGAAGCAAGGCGATTTCGATGTGGATATTGTGTGAAATCAAAATTCGACGTAGGATTTATAATCGATTCGGTCTATGTGGAAATAGAACACCGGTGGCTGTCTGAAACGCCTATCAATTGTCTCCTCCCACAATTGGACACAACGGTGACGCCTATTGCATTTAATATCTGAGAACCGTTATGGAATATAATAAAAAGTGTAACAACTCCTCGTAAAAGGTATGAAGGAAACAGGAAATAGTTCAGTAGGTGTGTTAAATTTCAGCTCGTTCCACAACCCAATGAGCGTCAAAGGAATTAGTGCACGTGCACGCTCAACACCCCTTACCCCCACAATGTAATGTTTGATCGTGGCTGGGAAATTTAGGTAGGATTTGTTATGGATTGAGCAGTGAAGAGGCCTATAGTCATCACATTAGTATATGCATGAAACGGTGGAAGAAATCGCACAAAGACCGAACCTCACGCCAAGCGCCAAGTTGATGCTAAGTTATCCCGATGATGACATTGAGGTATTAAACATACCTGCTGAGAAGAAGGAGGGGGAGGAGGAGCAGAGCCCCGGTCGAGCTCCTTTTTGTAGGGATCGGTAAGAAGAGCGAGAATGATGATGACCTTCTCTCGAATGCTATCGGCGTGCTCCCTGGCACGATGAACTAACGTAGGATATGTGCTGAGTGCAAGACTGGGACAGGTGACTAGAAAACAAAAGACGGCCATGCAGACGATTACATCACCGGTTACATCAACAGACACACACTTGTGTCTACCAACTAACGACTTCAAATTGAGACCCGATCCCGGATTTACCACTACGGGTTACACGTCAATCAAGTGACTGCCTCTGCATCTCACAAACACAAATGCGGAGGGGGAATATCACTGTTAAGTAAAACCCATTGCACTAAGAACAGCAAGTGAAAAGCAATTGCAGATGATGGAATAGAGATTTCAAATACTTAAGACCGCACATTAAGTTGGGTTTCTAGGCTGAAATAGTACGACTGTGTTTGAATTGAAATGACGCATTTTCAACCTTGTGTTTGGTCTTGCAATTGACAGGTGCTGCTAAGACTAGAGGGTGTGGAAAGCGAACCTTTGGTGGTTCCGCCTATGGAAGGAAACTGCAAGAGAAGGTCGATGGTGGCTGTGCAGTCGGAAATCGCCGCAGAAAGGAAGCGAGAAATGATGGCGTTGGGCCATTTGCGAAGACACTCGAGGAAGTAGCGGAAGCACTGAGGGATGCAAAGAAAAAGGAAAAAATAGGGAGAGAATCCAGAACTCCCACGAGCGTTAATTTTGCTTAAAATAAAAAAGGTGGGCCTTAAATACTGCAGCTTACGAACCCTTGAAAAAATAAGATGAACAAGCCTGGCCCACTTCCACTCCGTTATGCAATGTCTTTTTTCATATCCCATAGGACGAGGGTAAATTGTCTAGTGATCTATGGCTCCAATCTAATATCAGAAATTTGTTCAATCAATTCAACAAAGTATGTTACAGCAATTAAATTCTAACTAGTACCACTTATGCGTTGTCCTCGTGTAACTGATAAAGAAAATAAACACTAAAACAATTATCCACTCACAAGAATAGTTTGTTCTCCACGAATGAAATCGGTATCACGGGTGAGGCACAAAAGTGATGGCATCAGTTGAAGTACCTTCAGACCCACGCCGATGTAGATGGCTTGTCTGGAAAAAGAAAGATGTCGTAAAATGCCAAAGCCACTTACCGCAACTTAATGGCCTTGTCTTCCTAGGGGTTTTGAAAAGTAAAAAAACAACATTCTCTACCAAAATGTCTTTTAATCCGGTCGAAATTCCCCAAATAGACGATGTAGAAAAATTCCAGTCGATACATGACAAAAGTCGCATTAAGTAGGCTGATGTCAAATAATTATCTGGACTTTTAGGCTAGACTCATGACAGAGAGCCTGTGAAACAATTTCCGACAAGATCAAAACAAGTTGGACTACCCCCAGTCCGACTACCACGAGGTTTAAAGCAGCCATAGGAGAGGCGAGTTCGAGGCTGACCGAGTACAACTAGTGAACGGATGTAAGGAAGAAGCTGTAGCATTTCGCGGGGGACTTACGCTGAATGCGGCGGTTCTGGGGTGTGTGCAATTTCACTCACAAAGTACGCATTGATGGTGACGATAAGCTGCAGGAGGGAATTCTGGCACCAAGGTTGCTGAAGTAAACAGCGAAAACACAACGCGAGTAAGGGAAGTTAACAGCAGTGCATCGGTGTGACCATGACGATTTGTCTTTACTTTGCACTGACGAAAAGGAGCAACCTAAAGTAGCTAGTACGACGCGGGGCGGCAGTGTCAATAAAGTGTTTTAAACAAGTGTCCCGAGCCGCTACGGGGCTGTCACAAGTCTCCAATCGCAACATTAACAGAAAGGGAGTGTTAACCCGATGTGGTGGAAGCGACTGGAGGTGGACATGACTGGAAAGGTTGCCAAAACAAGCTGAAGATCATAAAAGGAGTGTTGTAACCACACACCAGCATCCTGCTACCGTGGACATCACCGTCACCACGGTTGAATGTGCTTAAGCAAGCATTTCCAGAACAAACATTTTGGGGTCAATTTAACGATACTTCATATTTCTGGGTGAGAAAGTTCGCCAGTGACTTTAAATACATCAGGTCACAGCCGACAAGCGGTTTTAAGGATGAAATTTACTTTTTTTTCTCCGATACGATGTTACAAGCAGGAAAATGGACATGGAATCCCTTAAGACTGGTTTATATGCCGACTGACCAAATACCTTGCGAAAAACCGGAGAATAACACGGAAATCTACCATTTATCGAGTACTTTTTTTATGAAAAAGTGAAAAATAAAGTAACCAAGATGAAGGAAATTAAGAAATACATTTGGCAATCGGGGTGAAATTGATTTATGCATCAAGAGAGCAGTCACGGAGACGTCTCGCATAAAATTTTTGAAATTGCCATCGATTACATGAACGTATGATGGCATCATGATGTTCAGATAGGGTCTGCACAAATGTGTCAGCAAACTAACTAACTAAATGACAAGAACTCACTGAAAGGACAGACTCTTTTTTTAACAGCTCATCGAGAAGCTGCACCAGGAAATTCGGGAGATTGGTGCGTTCGTAGAATTCAACAAGAGTGAGCACGTTGCTATTGGGAAAAGACAGCGAGTAGGACAAATGTTTGGGGTTACGAAAAAGTTAAACTGATACATTTCGATGATTGTAGACTCAAGTTCACTCGTTGTCCACTGTTGCTAAGGTGGGTGTGGTTCTGTAAACACAAGTCAACTGGGTGACTTTCCTGGTTCGTAGCCGGCGACGCCTAGGGGACACAGCCGTGCATTGTGAAAATAGACATGACTCAACGCAAGAAGGGTAATCAGTTGGTAAGAGTTGGACTAGGTACGGCGTAATTACTTGGAGGAGGGTCGAAATTATCCACAAAAGAGCCCGTTCTGGTAGGAATGCGAAACATTTAGCGAAGCAACAAAATTTTCCCGTCACTAACGGCATTTGTTAAATATTTGCAAGAACCATATTCTAGCAAAAGTGTAGTCTTGTTAATTAATAGAAGAAAGTTATTGATGACCGACAAGCAACGAACCACGCAGAAACGAATGCGTTTACTTAAATTTTATAAGTCAGTAGGTATTCAGTAATAATGGACAAGAAATAGCGTTAGTTATAGTAATATGCACAAGTTTGCTTAAGCTGAAAACAATCGTAGTACATAGTGGCCGTCTGCATTATAAGTCAAGTATAAAGAGTAACAACCACGCTACTATTATCCCCAGCATTTATGACGCGAAGTATACGAATTAGCCTTAACCACGCCACACACCATTCAACGGTGATTACGTTGGTTACCACGGATATAATGGCTTCAAGATTGCGCGCAGCTTGCGTAGGCGTAACAGTCGAAACCGATGGAGGGAGCTCGCCGGAGAGGACAAGCGCCCACCACTGGGGTTTGACTAGTGCGGCGCACAGGCTCGCAACAAAACGAGCGTCGGTCATCAACATGAGGTCCCAATTGCTCCTCGCTGACATGAGGGTGTCTGCAGCAACGAGCGTGCTCGCAAGTGCTTGCTGTTCCGTCGCAGTGGGAACCCGACCAGTTTCTCGGAGGTTGGCTAGGGTCTCCCAGAGTTCTGCGTTCGACTTCGACAGAAACGCTAACCAACTAAGCATCGCCTCGGATACCTCGGGTGCCGGAGGCCTTGGTACCTTAAAAAAAAGGCAAGATTTGCTTTTAATACAACTAATTTACTAAACACGACTTTCGTTCAGGAGCTAAAAGTTCTGCAGAAGAGTGATCAAGTTTTGTTAGTCGGTCAAATAGACGGTTGCGTGATCAATTTTTTGTAAACAACGAAAGCGAGAGTAAGATGGCGTCCGTGAATTCCACAGATACATAAAAATACCCGAATATTTGACGTCAGCATTAAAAGATGTTATTTTCAAAACCCTGGACTCGCTGACACACACATGTGATCTGACGTTGTTTTTCGCTGTCTTAACACTAACGTGTGTTGTCGTGTGTTCGTTGAATACAGCTTCATTGAAAGAAATTCATTTACCGGCACTTTAGCCATAGTCTCGGGGGCGGTTGCCTGACGGGTAAGCTTCGAGGTTGGCGGCAGCACGACCCTGCTGCTCTCGTCCTTCGGCGTGACTGTACCAGCAGAGGATGGCTGAGGCTTCGTTGATACAGTGTCTTTAGACAGAGTGCGTAAAATCCGACTGCTTTTTGGTCGGGCCTTTAGCTGGGTCTGTCTCTCCTTTTCAAGCGACTGGCTAGCGGTCAGGGGTTGAGTAAAGGGGCTTCGCAGACGCTTTGTGATTGGGGAAACTTGATTAAAAACAAAGGTATTCAGCTCATAAATGGACCGAAAATATCACCTAATCAGTCAAAGTGCAGCTGCGTTCTTAAAATAGGAGATACCTACCCGGGACATAATTTAAATAAGGGTTATTAAACTACATTACAGTTCCCATTACCGGTATTCTGAAACTTTATAATGGGGCGGTAGTCTAGTTATTGAACCACAGGAAAATTATTATGATTGCAAGTATCCTTAATTTACTATTGAAAAGTATTTATTTAACAAATTTATTAGTTGCAGTGTTTACGTCCCAATATAAAGGTATGAAAACGTACCGTGAACAAGATCCGCAATGAAGGGGTGAAGAAGAAGATCAGGCCATTGAAGCCTCCTCCTAGAATCTTTTTCCAACAGTCCAGCAAGAAAGCTTTTGAACATAGGAGACATCTTCTCACTCCATTTAACTTTATTATTCGTGATCATTTTGACAAGTTGGATAATGTTGCTGGTATAAAATGGGGGCGTTCCAACAGCCAATTCATATAAAATACACCCAAGAGCCCACAAGTCAGCCGTATGATCATAAGGGCGTTCTTCAACTATTTCTGGTGACATGTACAGCGGAGTGCCCTTGATAGAAGTAAGCACGAGGGTGTTGAAGCTCATGGTTCGGGCAAAACCGAAGTCACACAGCTTGACAACTCCACCGTGGCCGAGAAGAATGTTTTGTGGTTTCATATCCCTATGGAGAATGCGGTGGGCATGAAGATAGTATAAGGCTGACACCAATTGCGCAGCAATGGATCGAATCTAGGAAAGTGGAATAAAGTGAAACGGAATAGGTACAAACCACGTCCTCCGGCAGGGATCCATCGTCTTCCAGAATCTGAAAAAGATCCCCTTCGGCATATTCGGTAACAGCAACCATCTCCTTTGGCGTTTCAAAAGCATCCACCATGGCGATAATGTTAGGATGATCCATGGACTTCATAATTTCAATTTCCTTTTTCAGGTTCTGAAAGGCTCTGTCACTTTTACCCGATTTGGGTATGAATTTGAGAGCCACAGTCTACAGGTGGTAAAAGCAATGATTGAGCTGAAGTAGATGACGTACCTGGCCAGTATAACGCCTGCGTCCCCGATAAACACGTCCAAATGAACCCTCGCCAATGCATTCAAGCACATGATACTGGTCCATGGCTCCTTAAAAGCATTTCACATCGAAAATTCGTTAGCACAAACGTGTGTTGATAACGAAGTGTAAAAATGGTTATGTAATCAGGTTTCAATCAACAAAAACAAGGGTTTTAAGGAGTTTTAACAAGAAACCTTTAAAAACCTTTCGTCAAACCAAAAGTAGCAGCAATCACCAAAACAAACAGTGAGGACTACGTCCATTTGTTGCGTGAAAAAATGGTAGTCCAAAAGACGTAGAAATACGTGGCTTGAGTACATTCACACAGTACCCATAAAAAATCATTCTGTGAAATTACATGCGACTAGGTATGAAAATTAGCACTACGACGACGGAATGTTTTTAATTACTTGAAGCATTCTTGACAGATTCAATGTAGGGGACACCATGTTTTTGACGTAGCGATTCCCGATAAACTCACGTTAAACGCACCGTAGCAGCATACACTTATTTCGTAAAAAAGTAGAGAAAAAATCGGTGAAGGAAACTGAAATTAAACATCAGATAATGACCGATATCCGACATAATGGTACGGAGTATAAGACAACTTTTTAAAATCAAAACACAGTAAATGTTACAAGAAAAAGCATTAGGCAAAGTGGAAAAAACGTATACCACAAAAAAATATAACGCATGCATAGAAAATTAATAAAATTAAAAACTCCAAAAATATATCAAACAAAACATTTCCCTACAAATTTGATTGGATACTGAATCGGGAGGGAAGCGTTTAGTTTGCCGCTAAACAATGAAAAAAATACTAACAAATTAATAAACACAATAATTTAGCGTCAAAACGATAGCATATTAATTTAACAAATTATAATAATTTACAAACAATGCAACTACAGTTTTTGCTGCCAGTTTCTGCGATTTGAAATCAATTTTTCATTTCCAAATAACTGATTTCCCCCCATATATAGAATACGTACGTTGGCTGCATTATCATGTTACCTACTCAGTGGAGACCAATTCGAAAGGTTGTATACGGTAGGATACCGATAGTTCGAATAAAGGGGACCAATATAAATTAAAAGGTGTAAAAGCGCCTCGATTATATGTCTACTAAGAGCAATTGCTGATGAACTTGTAGCAGCTTGTGTTTTATCACTACCCTACCACCCTCTTGTTAACAGCCCGTAACAAGAGGCTACAAAGGGCACGACCGTTTATTAGTGTTACATTAGCTATGTGTGTGTTGGTGTGTGAATGAGTGAACGAATGACAGGCGTCTAACAACACTAACCAAAGAATATGGACTGAGTCATTGTCACCGTCAGGTCAGTATACAGTAATCTCTTAGACGCTATTGCTGCTAATCCACTGCAAATATTTTTCCTAGTGAGTGTAAGCTATGAAACAGCAAACGGGCAACGGGTCTCAGTGGTCGGCCAAAACAGGAGGTTGGGCAGGGTGGGAGATTGTAGAGTAAGTTCATCGTTGCTTGAGCATGTGGAGAGAACATTGGTGTCTTCCCTATAAGCAAATTTTAGAGGGTCTGCGTTCTTAGTATCCAGCGAACAATTTTTTCAATTATAAAAAATTTGTTGGAGCGTTCATTCAACTTAAAGGGGCCATCATGGGGTGGCTTCAAGAGTTTTTTTACCATTGACGTGGACTGATAAAAAAGAAGTGAGAAAACTCGGTTAGATCCGTGCTTGTCGCGAGGGCATTCTTGTCAGGGTCGGTCAAAGTTCTTTCATAAGGTACTTTAATTGATCGACATAAGGTGAAGATAGGAACTCCATTGTGTGGTCAGAGTTGGTGACCATTTCACCAGGCAAACGTAAAGTTGTACCGAATACAAGTTCTACTGGCGTGGAGTCAATATCTTTCTCTACCATATTCAGAATGGCTAATGAAATCAATGGTAATGATTCAGACCAGTTATTCGAGGCAGCTTTTGCAATAATGCCTGATTTCAATTGACGGTGGAAACGCTCAACCAAACCATTACATGCTGGATGGCATGCTGTAGTTTGAAAATGCTTGCATCCAAGAGGACGGTTCAAATATAAATTGTGCACCATGACTAGATGTAATGGAACTGGGAACACCGAAAGACGAAATCTATGGTTCCATAAATGCGCGGGCAATGGTATCGGTGACATCATCTTTAATACGTACTGCTATAGGCCAACGAGTAAAGCTGTCCACACAAATTAGGACATAGGTAGGACCACGAGAAAGGGGAAGAGGTCCAACTACATTTATATGCATATGACGGAAACGCACGTCTGGAAAGGAAAAATGTCAGGGTTGTGAAATATTATGTCGGTGGACTTTGCTGCGTTGATATTAAATGCAGAGTTTCGCCCGTAAGCAAACATCCTAAACAAATGTCTGGCCAAACAAAACTGCCATTTACCAAGCGCACGGTGGCACTGACACCTTGGTGTGAGAGAGAGAATTACGATATTCAAATATATGTTTTTTAAATGGGGCAGGAACAAAGGATCGAGACTAAAAATTCGACTAAGTTGTAACTTAGGGACATTAATCTGCACTGCAGCTAACAGTTTAAGGTCGATACCAAGAACTGAAAGGTTATGGATATGTGTTTGGGACAGCGCAATATTCCCATCAAAGTGGCGAATATTGGATGTGAATTGTGGAACATATTCAAAGTATCGGGATTCGCGTGGGGAATTTTGATCTGAGGCTGCATGAAAGCCATGAATTAGTGGCCCGTGATCGGTAAAATTGTAAACTCACGTCCTTCCAGTAGGTGACGCAAGTGCTTCACTGCAAGATAAATCGCTCAAAGTTCTCTGGAAAAGGTACTGTAACGGGTCTGAGCTGGTTGAATCTTTCGAGAAAAGAACGATAACGGCTCAGTACTACCGTCCAGCTCTTGTTGAAGGATTGCACCGACCACAGTTTGGGAAGCAGCTGTTTTTAAGACAAGTTTTCTTCTTTTTTCGAGTAGCACAAATTTGTGTTCTGCTATTGCGTTTTTAATAGCTTGAAAAACAGCTCCAGTCTTCTGAATACGTGTTAGCTTCTTGGGATTACCTTGAAGCAAGTCAGTCAAAGAAGACCAAATTTCAGTAGCACTTGTAATGAACCGTACATATTAATTGACCAAACCAGGAAACCAGCGTGAGCTGCTGGAGGATGCCGGTATGGGATACTCCCGTATCCCTGTTGTTTTCTTAGCCAAGGGTCAAATGCTATCTGCGTCAATTTGGCGTCTGAGGAATTCAACAATGTCTACTCCAAAAGCACATTTCTGAGGGTAACAATGATTTCAAAAGTTGTAAGGCGGATATAAACCTGCCATAGGTGAAGCAAATGTTTGTCATTGCCTTTGCTGGTTATGAGAACATCATTAGTGCAGGCAAAGACAAAGTCGAGTTTACGGCGAACAGGATCCATGAATCTCCGAAAGGTCTGTGCTGCGTTGCGTAGACCGAAAGGCATTTGCATGAACTCAAATATGCCAAAAGAGCAATAACGGCAGTTTGTGAGACGTCTTTGGGGCCACAGGAATCATATGATGAGCTAGGACAAGATCAATTCGTTAAAAAACGTTAGCCTCGTTTAAACCCAATGAAAAATCGTGGATATAATGGCTGGGGTACCGCTCAGGAACTGTGACATTATTAAGGGCTCTATAATCACCGCAGGGTCTCCCGTCTCCAGATTTCTTGATACCATGTGTCAAGGGGTCGCCCACGGGCTGTTAGATGGGCGGATAATGCTAAAACGACACATATGTTCAAGCTCTGTTCTGGCTGCTCTAAGCTTATCAGGCGCACGTCGTTTGGCCTTAAAGGTCGTTAGCGGACCTTTAGTCATGATGACTTGGTAAGTAGGTTTGTAGGGCGCCTGAGCCACGTTGACAATCTCGGAGAACTTCAAAAGTTTATCCTACCTGTTAGAGTCGGGCAATGCCAAGTGGAGTTCAATTGAATTTATTGAAGCAGAGACTCCTCGAATAGATAGTGTTGTATTTGAGTCCATAAGCTTCCGTTGTGCTGTGAAAGGACATCAGCAGCAATTATTGGGCACTGAACATCAGCCACGGTAAAAATGAGTGCGAATTGTCGTCTTAGGCCCAGATCTATGGTGAGTAATTCTAGGCCATACGTTGCAATAGGCGAATTGTTCGCAGCTTGAAGTTGAAGACCAGAAATTTTGAGGTAGCGTTCCTCAGGTCCTGGAGGAATTGCCCCAACCTCGGCACCGGTATCAGTCATAAGTTTTGAACCCTTGTGTGAATCTAAGACGTAAAATAGGCAACTAGGTTGAGTGCCCAAACCAGTCGTCGCCATTACTGGCCGGCCTTCTCTTTTCCCGAAGGTAAATTGGAGGGTTTGAAGGCCTAGGAGTGACTACATGGGTATTTGCAGGCTTGGGCCTTGTCACCTTACCCCCAATGGTACCAACATAGGCCAGATCGTACTCCAAAGTAGCTGGATCGGTGAAAACGTGATGAAGAACGTTTTCTACGTTGCGGATATCTTCAGAAACTGCTCGGGTTTCCCCTAATAAGTTCATTGAATTTCAGTGATAGTGTGTCCAGTCATTGCTCTAATTTATTGATGCCCAAAGTGTAGGTGTTAGCTTTGGCGCCAGGGGAGACAGTCTCATGACCTGGTACCTGGGGAAAAAATTAGTAAATTTTATTAGCTATCTTATCGAGTTAATTCAGTAGTGGGTCAGAGGTCTGGATTGAAATTATGGCATTTAGCCCATAAATGGCGCAGAACAGAGTCACTGACCTTGTTATTTCCGGCAAGGTGGCGCATGTGCCGATGAAGCAGCGAAGGGGACCTATCGCCTAGTTCGATGCCAGAAATGAGGTGTGGAGGACTGGCCTCGTTCGAGCTGGTCATCCGAACAAGTACAGCTCTTTCTAAATTGTCATTGGGTTTTTCCGGGGCATTGTTTTAATTAGATCAATTACTTCCGATGCGACTTCTGCTGGTAATAAATGAACGACGTGCAGATACTTAAAAGACTGAGAAGTATTCTTCAGCTGGCAAAATTGAGATTCAATTTGCATAAATCAAACTCTAGCATTGGAGCTGTAAGAGGAAAAGCTAACGGAAACGCTCTTTTCTATAGGGCAGAGTACAGCAGTAAGGTCAGACATTGTAGATGAAAGAGAGGATTGTAAAAATAATTCGATGGAAATCATCGGTATATGGAGTCGAAAATAAATGACTCCGTTTGTCAGGGTCATCAAATGTAGAAGCTTGTTTCCTAGCACTACCTTTAGACGAACTCTTTTGCTGTCTGTGATGTTCGATATGTTCATGCACAGTGACTTACCCAAGAATTAGTAATGCTTGGGTATTAGCTGAATTGCAGGCTTTACACGACAGAAAAGTGTTGTATTTTAAACATTTTTCTATTTTGCTAAATTCTAATTTACATGAAAGGGGTGTTAAATAATTAGGATGCTTCTTTAATTTACTTAGTACAATTTTTGCCTTATCGTATTAAATTTATCTAAATATATCTTGTATCCTTTTTTCTGAGAAGTTATGGGTACGTTTTGTCACTATTTTCATGGATATATTTTACTATATATTAGCGATTTAAGGTTTGTTTGACATAATTTTGTTACATTGAGATGGCAGTCCAAGAAAACCTGTTTAATATTATTGTGACTGTTTCGTTATATTTTGAAGGGTCCTCGGGTATAGCCATAATTGACAGGCATATTTAATGAATGTAAAATTTTTTGTGAGTTGTCATAATATAACACATTAAAACTTTTTTTATTAACAAAATAAAATAACTATTAACAATGGGGCATATTTGCCTAAAATAAATGTGTGAATAAGCAAGTTAAATGTCCCTTTGGGGCTCTTTCAATGCCTCTGTGTGCTTAACTTGTAATCTAATCAGTTACAATAATTATAACAAAAGGTTTAACATGTAAGGTAAATCTGTAATTTTTAATTTTACTGTGTACATACGTTCAGTTGTATAGCCTGAAGTTCATATAATCGTTTTTTGTATTTTGCATGTTATTTTCATTTCCCACACGAGCAAAGAATTAAAAAATAGATTATCCTACCTTTCTCAATCTGCATAAGACTAGGTCAGCCAAATGCTACGTTTTCTTAATATGGCGTGGACGGTCTTGATTAATATGTAGATTAGCCGTACAGCTGAAGTACTGTGCTTTTGGTCTTGAACTACACAAAGACAGCTGTGTTTCCATAGTTCGTGAAAGTCATTTAGATACCAGACTTGGCTAGTAGAAGACCAGAGACGGCAGATATCTCAGCTGACAGAGACTCCAGCGGTCGCATAAGTAGATATAAACCAATAAATACTGAGACAAGTTTTTGTAATCGTAAAAGATATGCCACAAGAAATGTAAACTTGTGGTTACAATACACGCACCATCATGAAAATTGAAAAAAATTGTTGCAATCTTGGATAGAGATAGTAGTATCCGAACAAACTTTTGGGAGAATTTATATAAAATAATGCACATGCAATTCACCAAGTCGCAAATTAATGCACCTCGGGTGTGACGATTCAAAGTTATAGCCTCACGAGACACCAAAGGCGGATTAGAGCTACGATGGACGTTAAATAGTCCAAATTAATGAAAATTGTGCTAGGGAGTGTAAGAGAACTGAGAAGGCTAATGGACCCGAAGTTATCGCACATTTAGGTTGGCCTTAATAGAAATTAGCTTGTGTACTGCGTTAAATATGTTAAAATTGATGGAAAGATATTAAGGCCTAACAAAAGGAAAGTCAATGAGGCGAAGGGAAGACAGGAATGAGGGCAGGCACTTCTGTACAAAGTGCAAGTAGAAGGATTAATACTTGAGGTTTAAACCAGAAAATTAAAAAATCGGGACTTTTAGAAAATCATTTTGATGCTAAGTATAAATAAAGTGAGAAATCGCGTCTTTATTTCCCGTTAAGGTATTTTATCGCATTAGCTCAAGAATTACGAAGTCAAATGAAAACTATTTTTAGTCAAATCCTGTCCATTTTTGCTGCAATAACATTGTGTTAGTAAAAATACTTTTTTGTTCAAATTGTCCCATGGAATTAAAATTAGTCAGTTGATATTTGTTTTGCAAATGCATTCAAAATATTGCATAGCAAAAACGTATTGCATTGTAAGGTATTGAAATTTTTCTAATTGTGGAAAATTTTCTTTTAAAGAAGCCCATCGTCATGCACTAAGCAAGTATCTTTTGCAATTTGACTTTTCACGGTGTTGCCTGTCCCTAACTTCAGGGGTTGAATCCAAATTATAACTGGTATTTGCAAAAAACGTTGAACGATGATTGCATTTAAAAATACGAGTAATATTTCCAAATTAAACAGCTCTCATAGGAATCATTTAATTCAAAAGGATTACTTTTTAAAAAAAATCACGATTTTTTATATAGTAGATAGTAAAGACTTCTTTTTTAAAAGCGCTGTATTTTGTCAATATTTTACATTATTGGCCCCACGAGTTAAACACGGATACATACAGTTAACAAATTACCTTTAAGCTAGAGATAAGTATTACGTCGTTTGCATTAAAATGTGCAAATCGACAACATTAGCATTAGAAATTTTGAACAATCAGATTCTGCCTTTTTTAATGGCTGTATTTGAACTAAAAATGCAAAAATCTTCCATTTATTCAAGATTAGTAGCAGATGACAACAGATTTTGCTGCTTAAAGATATCCTAAAATACATAAAACGCGTCATGAATTCATACCTATTCACCTTAGAAGTTGGAATCTGTTTTTACTTTTCTTCTCGACTGTTTTAATTACTTCAGAATCGAGTGGCTTTTTGAACATGTTTTCTCGTCGCAAGTCTTTATGCCTTTTCGCAGTCGCATTTTACCTTGGCGTATGTTCTGCAATTTTGTCCCACAGACTTCGAGTGGGCCAATTTAGTTATGCGGCACATCGTTTTCCTAGGAGAGTATTTCGGGAACCGGTATAGTAGTTTCTCATTACGCAAACATTTTATAGTTGGACCATTTTTCGTTTGCTTCTTCTCGTTATTTTAACCTAACATATCTTATTTTTACTGAGTCATGGAAGCCCGGTGGGCCGATACTTTTTTACACTGGAAATGAAGGAGCAATCGAACACTTCGCACACAATACGGTAAATCTCACTTACCCTGTCCCGATTAGTCTAGGGTTTTATGTTCGAATTAGCCCAAAACCTGTCTGGAGCAGTGATCTTTGCTGAACATCGGTACTACGGGTCATCTTTGCCCTTCGGGAACTTTTCTTTCCTCGTGAGTTTAAGTATTTAAGTTTGATATTTTTCGCTGCCTAGCTCATCAGCTGAAATTAAAAGCTTAATGAATTTTTCTGCTTGGCATAATTTTTCGTAAAGTTCACTTATTTAGTTAATGTACATTTTTATTTGACCAGTGCTTGTATAAACTTACGGCTTTACATTTTCAAAAAAATTTGCGTCTTGAAATTTCTGTATGTTTTAAGTGTTTTTTTAAGCAGTGGGAATACGGCCATCTTTTTGTCCTTTCTATGGGACGGTGTACACTTCAGAAACTGTCCTAATGTAAACTGTCGCAGCACGCAGTACTTGAGGTAGCATTTTTTTACTGAGTAACCAATTATAAAGCTAAGTAAAGCAAAATATCGGCATATGCACACAGCAAGAAAATTGGCTTGCCAAAACTTCCAATCAGTGTAGGTAACCTTATCAACATCTAATTTATTTTTGCTTATCAAAACGTCGCATATTTGCGGAATCCCAAAGCTTAAATTTTGGTTTTTTAACACTATCTCAAACACCCCTCTGTTTTTTAAATTTATCCCGTCTAGAACCGTAGTCATTTTGGATTTTTGACGGCAGAACAAGCATTGGCAGACTTTGCGAAATTTATCACAGACTTTAAATGCGCAAACCACCAATTCGCCGATTCTCCAGTGATTTCTTTCGGTGGTTCTTATGGAGGCATGCTCACAGCTTGGTTTCGACAGGCTTATCCTAATGTAGTTTCAGGGTGTGTTGCAAAATATTGATAACTTTTTTTTCCATTTGTAGCTTTCGAATTACGAACTTACCGATATTTTTTCAGTCTGAAGACCTACCATATGCATGTTATTCATATATCTACATAGACTAAGAGATTAAATTTGTAAAGTTTCTAACGCATGCATTGCTTTTTTTCAAATCGGCCTAATTCGGTTTTCTGTCTTCCAACTAAGAGGTGTAGCTGCTTCTGCTCCTATTTGGCTATTCCCTGGTATGGCAGACTGTCACGGATTCTATCAGGTCACTACCTATGCCTACACGCAGGCAGGAGGGGAGGAGTGCGTTACTACAATACGGGAGGCATGGTCTCTAATAGATGATATTTCTAAGAAACGTGAGTCAAGATGCTTTGCTGTTGTTATTTTTTCGTCCAATTATGATTTTTGATGTTTCTTTCCGTAGCCGGTGGAATTGCCCCCCTTTCTAAGCTTTTCAATACGTGTGAGCCCTTCCCAAATGCGAACTTTATATACGAATTTGCACAGGATTACCTCGTTACTTTGGCAATGGCAAACTATCCCTATGCTGCTTCGTTTCTCGGCAAACTTCCTGCATTGCCTGTCAAAGTACGTTCATTGACCATCACTGCATAATTACGTTGGGCGCACGTAAGATCCTTAAAATCTGCTCATTTTCTCCACTTAGTATGGATAAAAAATGTTTACTTATCATATAATCTCAGTAAATGTTAGTACATGGATACAAATCGGGATTTTTATTGCAGTAGTTTGCGAGAACTTATTGTACAATCCATGTAAATTTTGTCCAGGTTTGGGATTATTTTATGGGACATGGTCACATCGGCGTGTATGCAATATGTCAGCACTTTTTTGTAAAAGCGTTTCCCTATCTGTTATTATTCAGTTTTTACTTTTTTTGACACTGGAGTCTCAAGCAAATTCGTTTGTAATGTTTCATATGATATTTTGCGATTTGCGGCATCCATATGTAAATAAAACCATTATTTCTGCACCTTAGTGAGATTAAGGTGCTTACGAATCTAGTCCCTTACCCGTATAACAAATTGTATGTGGAGTTTATTCACCAAAATAAACCGTGGTAATAGATCGAGTGAATTTCCGATAAAGAAAAGTGGACAAGCGTTATGACTTATAGTTAATTACTTGCAGGAGTTTTGCAAAGCCCTGGTTACGTGTCCGGTTGGGGGCAGTTTGCCTGAACAGGTGGAGCGATTTGCATGCGCCTTCTTTTCGCTTTATAACTACGGACAGGAGGACAAATGCTTGTCTTTCAATGACAACTCAAGTGTTGACGCCAATGGCTGGGAATTACAGGTACTTAAAATGTGTAACTGACCGTCAAACCAATCAGTTCTATTCACGTTTATGCATACATGTGACCCGTTTTATGATCTTTCAACTAGCCAGAAAACGCTAAATCGGCTGATATGGACGTGGATTTTTATTTTTTTAACAAATGTGCATGACGCAACCCGGTGTTTGTACAAGCTCAGGCCACTTCTGTCTTGATTCGCAATCAAAGTCATTTACAAATCCAGAGAGGATCGAACTGTGTGGAACACTGTTGAAAACCTTAGAAATGCCAAGAATATTCGTAACAGCATTAGCGTAGCCAGACCTGCTCAAATAATTAAATTTAGGAACATAAATATCTCTTAAGGATTCCCTTGAAATTAGTCAGAGGTCTCTCTTTAGGGACACGAGTTTGAGACAAAATTCAGAAACACGGTGCAGCGACTATTATTATTTTCATATTATTATTATTATTATAAGAAGCAATTTTGTTATTCAGACATGCATGGAAATGACCAACCCGATTTGTTCTGACGGCAAGTCTGATATGTTTAAACCATCTACATGGGATCCAATCGCGTTCTCCAATGCGTGCCAAGAGAAGTTCGGTGTCCGACCCCGCATGAACTGGGCTGGCGTGCAGTGGTGGGCCAAAGACCTGAACACGGTGACCCGACTAGTCTTTAGGTCGGTTTAAGTATAGGCTGATCACTGTAGCAAACTCTTTTTCCGCTTATGCGATCCATGGGATGTGCAGTCATGCGTTGTGTTTGAGGTTTATTCGCTACACTAATCAAGATGTCAGAATGACGGTGGTTTCGCTTGTGTCAGACATCTGGTGATCAATAACATTCTCACTTATATTGCTTAACTCGTTATGTATTATGGTAAACAAAACATCTACGTTTAGTCTTTCCATGTAGAAGTTAGCCATCACGTTTTGTCTCCCTGATGCACCTTACTGGCGGTGTACGCTTTCCGAGGTACTTTTACGCCAAGGATGCAAGCAATCAGCAAAATCACAACATATCAAGGCGAACATTATGCGTGGGTCTCTAGTATAAAGGCCTACTAAACGGTGCAATATTTTTTAATGCTTTAATACCTTTCATTTATAGTGCCATTCTGATGTTTCCTGTTTTGCAATTTACTCTGCAGCAATGGTGACCTGGACCCGTGGTCAGCTTTCGGTGTTTTGAACGCTTCGAGCGCGCCAGGGGCTACCGTGATCCGCATACCGACGGGTGCGCACCACCTCGATCTGAGGGGCAGCCACCCCAACGACACAGCCGACGTAATCGACGCCAGGCTGAAGATCCGTGAACACATCATCGATTGGATTGAAGCCTGGAAACGCGAATATCACCCACTCTATTGCTTAGACTACTAGATTCAGTTTTTGCTAGTTCCTTACAGCGAAATTTCGTCAAGTACATCCGCGGCACTGTATAGTTTACCGTCTCTTAACATCAATTTTGCGAAACTTATTCGTGTCCGGATTACCGCTTCTAAATTTTCGATAATCAATTCATAACAGAAAAAGGCTATCCACGTAAATTGCGTTTTGGCGATCAGCAAGCGAACACCCCTATCAAGCTTGAGAGGACGCTAATCCAACTGAATGTAATGATATCCGTTTAGCAATCGATGTCAAGCTTTCCTATACAAACTGACGCCTTGTGAAGCTAGAACAAGCCACACCTTACACAGCAGTAAATCAACTGAGCTGGATTTTCCTATTTCATGATCCGGGCGAATCTACTGGGATTGTTGACCCCGATGAGGTTTGAGAAGCACATCGGAACTTCTACAACCCCAAATACTAGCTACCTTTACATTAAAACGTTTGTTGCCGCAAACGAGAGATTCAGGAAATGCTGTGAACCCAAGAAGTGTCCTCACAAATAGAAAATCCTCTTCTCGAAGTCTTCAACTTTAAGAAATTGAAACAATGCTTTGAAGTCAATTCATGAAACAGATTGCGTTAATAAGGGCAAATGGAGAACCTCACGTCGTGGGTAACCGTGATCGAACACACTTTACTAGCGCGGGTTAAATATCCCAAGCGCAAAAAATCTTCGGGCAGTAATTTAAGTGACCCGAAAGGGATCGAGAAGTTACTCGCCAATAATCACGGGTGAAAAGGGGGGACTCCATCAGGAAGTCTAAATTTACAATTAATGTTCAATAGATGTACATGCTTTTCCATTGATGGAAGCCTGCAAGGGAATTCGCCAGGAATGTGAGTGAAGCTATTTTGTATTTAGGTTTCATCAAGAAACCGATCAACGTGCTACAAAACACATGAAAGTACAATAAAAAAAGTAGACGATACAGCATTGGAGACGAAATGCCACGTGTAATTGTTTGTTTGTTTCGTACATTACATTCAGCAAGTCTTCTTATATCTAAAGCGCAGCAAAAAAAAACATGAAAATCATTAAGAAATTGGCGTTTGGTTGAATTTGCAGATGCAGTAAGGCAAGCAGATATCCAATTCGCCGAAAATATCTCAACTAGTGTCGGGGTTGTATTATTTGATACTATTTAGAAACCACATCTCTACCAAAAGACCTTGGTCTCTGAAAACAGACAAGAATAAACAGTTTGTAGGGATTGACATCCAACTGAAACAAGAAGTACTAAAATAGCGGTTAAAAGTGATAATGAGGTCCCAAAAAAGGCCCAACTGACTAGTGGGTGAGAATAACTCTTTAGTGTGAATGCTACTAGAATCAGTGAGCCAAGTCGTAACATGTTCCTCGTCATAAATAATTCTATAAGAACAGTTAAGATGAGACTGAGAATATGCTAAGGATTCAACTAACATCGACAGGAGGTGGGGGATGACGAGGCTCGGGGGTGACTTGAGTTCGAACGGGAGTGGCGGCAATATGCGGGGCTTCATTGTCACCAATGACGGCGGGATTGTTTGTCGTCGTCGTGGTCAGAGCAGCGGTCGCCGACGCAACGACATGAGCATCCGCTGCAGCAACACGCGCAGCATTGAGGCCTTCCTCGACGACGCCACCGCCACCGGACTCGCCTCCGGTCACTACGACAGCAGAAACACCTTCGGGCAGGTGAAGCGTCAGCGGCTCCTCGTGGCCAGCCGCAGCACAGGAGGACACTGTGCGGGGGGCTGAGCTTATGGTTGAGCCGGAGGAAATGTAGTACATGACTGGCGACTGCTGGTTTTCGGCGCCCGAGACAAGCAGCACGCAGGACGGAGCGGGAGGAGGCGGCGGCGGCGGCGGTGGTGGGGGACGCATGTGAACTGGCACCGGAACCTCCTGGGGGGCGGGGAGACGTGGGGGTGGGCCGCTCGCAGCGAGGTTCGTGCAGGCCACCGATATGGCCGCCTGCAACTCGGCAAACTGGCTGCTCACGTACTGGATCTGGTAGGAATCGAAGTCCAGTTGTTGACGCAGCACGCCACTCAAGATGAATTCCTCGTGGTGAACCGCTGGGATTTTTCCAAATTAGACGGTCAAAGTTACGACGAATAACAAAAGTATAAGCATAAACATAATGCTGCACCTTTTTTTTAGACATCAAAGAGGGATGGCAAATTGCCAAGACTCGTTTACCAGCAATCAATTACTTAAAGTCATTCAAATCTATAAAATTATTTGTTAGTATACAGTCCCTTCTCCACATGGGAGGACCTGCATTACATTGGTGATCTAAAAAAATTCGTAAGCTCACAGTAATTAATTTTGAAGCGGTACAAGTCTGTTTTGTTTTTCGAAGCCATTACACACTGCGAATCACCGTTGCATCTCACTGTGACAGCGTATTAAATCAGATGATTTGACAGGCTAACCCAATCTGTCAGGCTGCCTTAAATCAGCCTCCCGTAGAACTCCCACATGTAACCCAACCTGTCAAGCTTGGTCTGATATTAAGTTTTCGTGCAATTTCAAACAGAATTTTGCTTTTCACAAATAGTGGAATTTCAGTCACTTTGTAAATCTGGGATTGATATGATAGTTATTCTTCTATTAGTAGTAAAAATACAGGACTAGGTTTGCATTAGGGAGTCAATTTGATAGAAACGCACAGGAAGGTTTGATAGAGGCAGTGCACGTAGTCACCGATGTTAACGAAATGCACCTAGTATTGTAAATGGTCAGAAAAACCCTGGTTTGTGTCAACGCGATACACGTTTGTGTGGCCCATCTAACCCAAGCACGTAGCCACCAGGAATTGACGAGTTAAACCCTGAGCAGCGCAAACCACAAGAACGAAGACAGAACTGTTGTACAAGACCAAGGAATCGAACTCACCCCGATTACCAGTTTTCGTTCGCATTAGATAAGAAGCCACGTGGGCCTCTTCTTCGTGACAGATGATGATCTGTCGGGGAATGGGGAGGAGGGCCATTTTTTGGGTTGGTCGTCGTTCACGGACTCGGCCACCGCAGGCGCGAACAAGCTGCTCGCAGACCTCCCGGTGATATGCCTTGGGTGCGAACCAGAATTCCAGGTCTGAGAAGAGACCTGGTTCGCCCAATAAACGACGCTCGTGGGAAATGCGAAGGGACTCTGCCAGACAAATGCCGAGGTTCTCCTCTGCTTCGGAATCGCGCAGGAGCCAATCAGATTCAGCTACAACAGAGGCAACAGGAAGTGGCTACTCGGAGGGAGGGACAAAATACCCCACCTCTTCGATTGGGCCAACAACAACGTACTACTTGAAACCTCTTGAAGTCAAGGTTTAAACGGAGAAGTGAGTCAAAAGGACTGAGGTTTGAATTATAACTTCACAGACACTACATGTTCACCAACCCCTGTCTCAGTGTCGCCTGTAATAAATGATGATTCCCAGTTTATAATGATACGCTACAACGTAAATTAGTTAGAAAAAAGCGGAAGGAACAAAGCGCCCACATACCGAGCCAGTCCCCACGAACAAGACAAGCTCGCACCCACTTCGGGGTTACGATGGCGCAACCAAAGGCCACGGCCATGTAGATCTTTGGTGTTCTCACAAGACGATCAGTTATCACGTGTGTCGCCTCACTAACGTTTTCCACAAGCCGGTAAGGCGCAATGCCCGTCTTGGGCATTTGGGCCAGCAACTGCAACAAACCCAGGCGGGCTTCAGTGTCCATTCCCGTAAAGACCAGCCGGACTTCCAGGTCAACGGCAATATCAGGCTTCGGTGGCGGTGCTGGTGGAGGATCGAAAGGAGGTGTCGGCTGTGGCGTTTGCGAGGGAGGGAGAGGAGGAACATTATGCTTCGTTGGGTTTGGGGAGGCCTCTTCTGGCTGTGACGACGACAAACTGACGTGGACAAGTGACGGCTTAGTCTCAGGATCCTTAGCATTCTCTGTTGATAAGGGACCCGCTGACAAAGGCCGTCGAGCCTCTTCGACGGTAAAATCCGGAAGAGGAGGAGGGACAGAATTCGGTGGACGGCCCTGCGCCAGTCGCTTGCGAGGCGGTGAAGTCCGGCCATCAGGATTGGGTGGACTATGCTGGCGTTTAAAGTGGTGGAAATCTGAACCTGATTGCACTGTGGGTGCCGACGACTACAATACATGAAAGCACAAAATTTGCTCACCAGTCTCATGTGTTCGATCAAGGAAAACACTAAGGATAGATGGACGATATTTTTAATAATGCCCAGATTGGAGTTTATGTATGGCGGTGTTTAGATCTTTGTCATCAAAAATACTTCAACGAGAGATGACATTCCTAGCAGTAGGACCAACAATTTGCGTAACTAACACCGAACAAACTACCCTTAGATACTGACATTGATCCAACTTGTCGACTAAACACACAGATTCAATGTAAACAAACTGGTTTCGTCGGAAATGGGACAAACTAAAATTGATAGGAACCAATCCGTTTAAGTCATTGGAAACCAGGTTAATGAGAAAAAAGAGTGGGAAAGTGTTTGGGCTCACTACACTGTACATCAATTATGGCACTAATGAAGGTGTTTACAGTGGCAATGTAGTCGGTTGTGGCAGCTTTACTGGGCCTCAGCAAAGAGTACTTTTCAGGTGGATATTTCGTGATTTAAGGAACAAAGTACGTACATTTAAGCACTGCACGTTTGGCAAGCAGGAGCCGAAAGCAGCCTGTGTAAGAGCATGGTAAAATTACAATTGGAAGCCGAATTCGACATCTAAGACTTAGCGAACTGAGAGATGTCGATCTTGTTCATCTTTTGGAATTGCAGAAGTAAATGGATAAATGTCAACAGGAGACGAATTTAAGGTCGTGAATATCAAGATCATGAAGTCGCTAGATTATAATAAATGCAGCAACAGTTTAAAAATACAATAACTAGTTGTGTTCGGCTAGATGTTCAGTAGAATGCTATTCCACATCCTCTTACCTAAAACCAAGTCACTTTTCGGACACACGGTATTACAAGCGCGCGTCTCCAGATACAGATACTTCTATGGTGAATGTGCGTAAGTCAACGCGCGAAATTCCATCGTTTTCGAAGTCCTTCATACTCATTGGATTATAATTACCGCTGTACATGTAAATAATGCACATTTATCATACGCACTATTTTACATTCAAACTAGATGCAGCTTTTTTGCTTATAGAGGAACTACATACACGGGAAGTTGTGTATGTTATACGAATTGCCAATCAATTTTATTGTAGCGTACATGGGCACACCAAAACAGCCTGCAGATAATCGTCTAAAAACTGCAGTATAACTGGCCAGGTGGGACACGAAGGCGGGCACAACTGACCTCCTCTTGGGCGGTAGCGGTGTGCGGAGGTGGCGTCGGAGCAGGGGGTACGGGGGTGGTAGAAGAGACCGACGGGGGCAGCGCCAGTGTCGACGTCTGGAGCTGGTGGTTTAGGGCTGGGGTCGGGTTCGAGTACTGGGGGGCGGCGGGAGGGGCGAAAACCGCGGGGTAGGCGGCTGCAGTGGAGTGTTGGGGGGCGGGGGCTTGCAGAGCCGCGGCCGCAGCAACGGCGGTGCGGTGGGCTGCCGCCCTTTCGCACTCTTGCCGGAGTAAAGTCTCACGCAGCATCCCCGTCTTGGCGAGTTCCACCTCTTCTGCCGTTAGACTAAGCGAAATACGACCGACGATGAGTGAAATATGCCGCGATTGTTGCAAACGTGTGAAAAAGGCTATGCAAGTTTGCTCGAGGCCAGTTGGGCGCGATCAATCAATCAAGCGGAAGACAAACACACCAGTTACTCAAATGAAATAAGTAGATATGGTCCACTTCGGGAAATTACGATTTTGAAACTTGAATAGCGGTTCAGCTCCGCCGCTACATCGTACCTCGTGCTAGAAGCTACAGTATGGACTCCAGGAATGAAACCACGCGCATGACCACACATGATTCTCATTGCAGATAAACCTTCCAGACCCGATAATTTTAAAGGGAAGAGCAGCGCAAGCAAAACGCAAGACAAGAACGTCCAATTTAATTGAGCAGCCGCATACCTATTCTCCTTATCCGCGTCATTGTCTTCACTATCCTCCTTTTGGAGATTTTTGCGGGCCGCAGCCTCTTCCTCCTCCTCCCGGTCTTCCTGACGCAGCTCACTGCGCAGTTTCTTGAGGTGCTGAGGTGAAGGCAAACAGGGGTGAAATGTTGGATCAGGTTGGGCGATAGCATAACACACATGCATCAACCCTACACTAAACTCACTACCTCAAACAGCACCAACCGTTGGCGGGCGTGTTTGGGGTCACGTTTTAACGCCCCAACTAGGTTTTGAAATTATAGGTACGCTAAACGTTGCTAAGGAACCTTATTTCATCGGACAAACGCAGAACAGGCTAGAGATAAACTGGGACTACGTTCCTACATTAACCGATCTTGTGGACAGGAGAAACACCGTAGTCATCATTGCTGTTGGCAACACAAAGACAGATTACCACCCGTGTATGATGCTTGCTGCTGTGCCGTGATTATTGAACTGAACGAGAGAAAGTCAGTGCCCCGTGCCAAACACGGCGTGGCCCTTAGTCTGTTCATTTCACGCTCGCAATGAATTTGTCAAAGGTTTCACCGCCAGAGAGATACTGGCGTTCAGGATTAACAGACAAAACAGTGAACACATCGCTCACTTGACTCAAAGCCAATTTTATTAGTACCCTTAAGAGGAGATCCTCTACTGGCGGTAATAAAATCTAGCCGCAAAATTCGACTGCCGGTGCATTGTATCAAGACGGATGTAGAACAATTACAGAGTTGTCTCTAACTAGCACCAATGCTACTGCACACAAACGCAAATATTGGGTGTAAAGAAACTTACCTCCCACGACTCTGAGGTTACACAAATGCCCTGTTGCCAACCGACTAAAGTGCAAATACAAATAAACGGCAGTAAGCATCTCGCTCTTGTAGGAAGATGGACGAATAATATATACGGTGACTACACATAAAACCGATAAGAAATGTAAATTGAACAAATATTTGTGTTTGATTAAGTAGAATCACCAAGAATTTTTGCGTAATGCCGTAGGACATAGGTGGGTAAGATAATTGAGAACCCCTAAAGTGGATGAAACGTGCTACTTCGTAAAGCTAGCAAAAATTCACTTCGGCACTCCTCGAAAAATTAGGTTAAGCGCGCAAAGGAGGATAATTCAGAGAATCAGCAAATCGGAAGCCGTTTATAAATAATGGTAGAGATTATCCGTCAAAACGTTTAAAGCCACCCTTTGAAAAGTGCTCTTCGTGGGGAAGAAATTCCAGATTTATTAAAAATTTAAGAGATAGGTGGTTGGGAAGGTCAGGAAACAGCCGTAGGTACAGACTTATGCCCTGCCGGAGCGGTACCAATTGTGCTGGGTGCATGGACATAAGTGTAATCACAAGCCTATACATGACCGAAGCGGACATCCACATACACCGATGGTTGGTTGCCAAGGTAACTACGTGACCTGGGTCCCGCAATCAACCTTCAAGTCCGCATGAGATAACTATCGGTCTGCAAGCAAGAAGCGATCTGCTGCAACGCCGTGAACTTTAATTGCGCAACAGGTAGACGTTGCTCGACATCCCAAGAAAAGGTAACACCGTTTCACCTTATTGAACACAAAACAAACATCTACATATTACTGAGACATCTAGAGTAAGCTTATATTACGCTAATGCATAAAAAAACCACGCCCCTGCTATTTGAAATTACTAAAGCAGTGACAAATACTTGCTTTCCCTAAAAGTGTTGCTTAAAACAAGAATACTTAGACAGGTCTGAGTGATAACGATGGGAACCACGTGTGTGGATATGTGGAGTTGAGTTGTGAGGTGGTCCAACGCACCCATGAGTTCCTGAGCTCGAGGCGTACGCATCTCTAGGGCAATGGTGACGTCCATTGCGTCGAAACAGAGATACTTGTGAGCCAGGTCCGCGGAAATGGCAGACAAGTCGCCCAGATACAGGTCCTGAAGCCAGCGGACATTGACGCAGGGGATGCCCCAGAGGGAGGCCATCTCGTACTTTTTGCCGTGGGGCCTGTTGAGAAGGGAAATAGGACAGGGCTGGCGCATTAGCTGATACCGACAACACTTCAACAGTTAGACAGAACCCAAGCCTTCTGCAAGGAAGAGCAGCAACCACGGAACCCTAGAGGGTTACTACTAATGATGATTTTGGGCTGATAACGGAATCACGCTCCACAAAAAACTGAGTAATGGTTTAAGAAATTCTCGGACCAACGTACTCTGGAGGCCATGACAAACCAAGCACCTTCTTTTACCTAACGGGACAAGAGTATTTGACAAGACTTGACAAGGCGCGATTTTCTCTTACACCAAAAGTGGACGGACCATTTTAGAATTTATTAATGCCGATAGCAGTATCAGTGAAAGTGATTTGGGTAAATTGACCAGCAAAATCCTAAACAATTCGCTACCAATCCTTCGTGTCTTTGGTCCATTTTACAAAAAAATAAGGAGTGATAATATAGTTGCACAAATATCACTCTTACAGACGGCGCTGAACTCCGATTTCGGGAAAAAAGAGGTTTCCCGTTTGAGTAAAAATTGGTGACATAGGCAATTTGTCGAAAGAATTAAATGCCATTTAGTTATCCTTAGATTGTTGAATGCGTAACAAACTGACCGTTTACAGATAAGGAGAGTGTTCATTTGGTCTAGGTAATCCGTAAAAGAGGCACCCAGCTGTTTTATGAGGAGTTCAACCTTCTGGCGTTCAATACCTTCGAAACCAGTGATAGAAATTACCTAGAAGAGTCAAAAGGTAGCCAATGGCAGGGCGCGAAATACCCAATCGCATATTTAAAAACAATTGTTTATACGCTAGCATCTTAAAATTAAAATAGATGAATTAAAAAAAAACTATGCCGCAAATAAAGTAGCTTAATAAAGTTATATCAGCAAACAAAAGTGTTTGCTAAATTGCGATGATATCCAGCATGCACATTAATTCGGCGAAAGCTGAAACGAATGACTAGAATGCTGGTCTTGGGCACAAACCAATAGGAATTCACGATAACCTGTTGTAGGTAGTATTTAAGTAGCTTTGAACCTGAAGCCAACTGCAGGAAAAACTGGTCGAGATTGTCTAGTCATGTGGCCCTATTTAGGAGCCTCTGGCGTTCGGTTTACGTGTTATTACCTGGCAAAACGAGTATTACGTGAAACGCTATCAGATCTACCACATCAAGATGGCTTACAACTTTGGAGAAGACAAAAAAGGCAGTCTAAGTTCAAGATCAATCAGAGTTCGCAGCCTGCTCTCAATTCTACAGCTAATTCATACACGGTTCTGGCGGTTAGTGGTTGGTCAGGCGAGTAGTTAGGGCGGCACTCGTGAGTGGTCCGGAGAGTGGCACTTACCTGTGACCGAATAAATGAAAAAGTGATTTCAGGCGAGAAGGGAGAAGGAAGGTGAAGAATCTCGTAGGGTGGGACTAGTCTGCCTTTGGCCAGGACATCGTTTACCCAGTAAATCGTAACCAAACGTTTTCTATCCCGAAGGGCCTACAGGACAAATACGTGAATGCGATTGATTCAAGTAAGCTGAACACCCAGACGCACTCCACCACAAGTTGCTGAATTCTAATAATAAGTAGTAAGAATTGAGCGGCGGTTCACACCACCTAGTGTTATCTGTAATTTAGGACCCCACGAAATTCACAGGATAGTTTTCTTTAAGCGTTGTACACACAAACCAGACAGGATAAAATCGTGATGCTGCGCAACTCTCCGCAAAAATGGTAGCGGCTTCCCCTAAACTGACGGCCCCAAATCCTCGTCAAAATCATCGATTTAATCAAAAACGTTTACTTATAATTTAATCAAACTACAGACTAAGAACATTGCCTCTTGTAAGTTAGCTGATGTGACAGGTTCCAGTGTGGATAAATCTGATCAAGATCACGAACGACCCAACGCAACTGGTCCCACGACCGCGCGTGGAGGTAAAAGAAGTGACAGGGCACTCGAGGACAGTTCTCCTGGTAGCACGCCACCCACTTGGCGCGAACCCCCTCGTAGCGACGTAGTGTGGCGACAAGACGCCTGTCCGGTGTCTGTCCCATGCGGCCGTGAAAGTCTCGCACCAAAAATCTCCAGACAACCTCCTGATTGGACCGATAAACTGGTGCTGGAGGCTCATGTCTTAGAGGAAGTCCCACGTCGCTTCGACGAACAGGTGAAGGTTTTTTTGAAGACCGATAAAAATCTAAAATTTTATCCTTTATAGCAGGAGGTACGAGGATTGTAGGGGAGGGACACGGACTTGCGGAATCATCTGTAATGGGTATTTCAGTGCTTGTTGTGTTCGCGGGGCTTGGGGATTCTTCCACCTTACTGCTGCAAAGAAGGCGCTCAAGTTTGGTGACGGGAAGTGGCTCCTCGAATGTCTGGAAAGGTACTGAGGGGAAACGGGGCAATGAATGATAAGTTTCCCTAGTTTTCTGATTACTGCTGTCTTCCGTCAGGTTAGAGAGGGAGCTGGCGGCAGTGGTAGTATCGGCCGACTCCGTGATTGTTTGCAATTCAATGCCGGCAGTGATCGAGAGGTGGTCAATTCCGGGAAAAGAGGAGTAGTAAAACGTGGGGCGGAAGAAGGTCACAGCCATGACGCAGTGAATTGATTACATGACAAAGTAGACGGGCCTCTTAATGTAGTACACAATGAGGGATGGTTCAAATTTTGGCAAATCAATATGATCGAGCGACTTAAAAAGCACGTGGTTTCACAGATGGTGCGGTGTGAGAGGGAATTAAAAGCTGCTTTTTTAAGAAGTGTACGAAAAGTATACGTGCATAACAAACAACGGACGAATCTCAGAACCTAACTTTTAGACGCAAATGAAAAGAGGGAAAGCGGCATAATTACGAAATATTTCATTGTAAACATTTCCAAGTAACAAGCGCATTATTCGTAAAATTATGTAGGAATACGGCTTTTCCGTGAAAAGAAAAGCAAAGACTTCTAGTATGAGCGTTTTTTCATTGCACACCACGTGTAGCAAGACTCGCGTGACCAGTAAATTAAAAAGGAACTACAGTTTACTCTCAAATCCAACTTTTCAAGTAATATAATACGAGCCCTTATTTCCACATAGCAAATATCGATTTACGGTAATATCGTATACATGGTCAATCGTAAAAGAAACTACAAAGTCAAACAATGTGAGCATCCTGGCTCGAAACAAGAGTCCTCGACGGTTCCGATCAGTTAGGAAGGCAACCACAAATGACTTCAAGCAGACTTACCTGTTTAATAAGATCGGGTTCCTCTAACTGCCAATCGACTATAACGTGTGTGACACGTGCTGGGTCATAAGTGGGTACAACCTCCGCGCCATACGACCTAATGATTTTCTTCCAAAGGGTTTTCTGTGCCTCGCCGAAGGAGTGATAGCCTAGTAGGAGCATTACGCAACCAATGAGGCAATCCTGTGCAGACGTTGGACAGGGGTAACCCACGTGGCCACGGAATGCAGGCGGTTGGAAGACGGGCGGTGGGGGAGGAGCGGGCTGAGTGGCCACTTGCGTTCCCGCGATGGCCGGTTGCTGGGCTCGCACAGTCGTTTGGACGTAGCCTCCTGCAGTGGAGTCTGGTGCGCGCGTCGGGGCAACGACGCCTCGGTACTGCGGTGCTGGCGGAACCATATGACGCTGCTTGACTGCTGCAGCTGCCATCATTTGACAAATTTGCGATGCCGTAGCGGCCGGACCACGGGCGCCAGCGACCAACTGAGCAACAGTGGCACGAGAGCTTTGAGGCTGGTGGCCGGAGGGTAGTTGGTGGGATTGGGACTGTGGAATCATTTGCCGTTGTTGTTGCTGGAGGAAATTCCCGCCCTGTGGCAATTGTTGCTGAAATTGACTTTGCAGCTGACCTAAACAAAACGGAGGTTAAAATTAAAATGTGGCCGTCCACAACAGCTGCGATTCGTAAAATCCGTCTGCACGTGTATGGATATGCGGAATTATGGTTGCAGCGAGGAGATGCACTACTTGTGTTTGGAATAAGGCAACAGAGCCGTATACCACATATTTTGCTGAGTGACTTTGAAATGGAATCCCAAATAGCAACTTATACAAGTCATGCAACACAAATCAACAAAGGACCTGAAGTAAACCGCTGTTGGCATTAGTTGAACGGTCAGATCAAGTGATGCTTCTGAAAGAATAAACAAGGTAACGTACGCTAACCCGCCATCATGAGCCGTTTCACAACTGAATTTAAGCGGAATCCGTTGAAAAACATGTCGCTTGAACGGGTTCAGTTTTTCAGGAGATCGACAAGGATGTCAGGAAGATTTGGATGAAAATTCTGTGATTTGTAGACACTGATATGACACCAATGAGCAGATGATAAGGTGTTGCGACACGCATTTGCGAGAGCTTAGTCGTTTGTTTTACGGCATTGCTTCTGCTACATGCATACGCGGGTTCACCAAAGGGAACTTTGGCGACCCGCAGATGGCACTTCAATTGGGAGTTGGAGAAACGCAAGGTGAACAACGATTCCAAGTTACAACGATTTATAAGTAGCACAGTTTATCAGCGCAAACTCACTTTGGGAGACCATGCAGTGCTGCTGAGGCGGTGTAATCTGTTGGATGGATCCCGGCGCGTGAGGCGACTGCACAATAATTCTTTGCTGTTGCTGCGTTTGGGCCTGCGGTTGTCCATAAAACTGTCCTTGCTGAATGGCCATCGCTTGCTGGGTCTGGATTATAGAGGGCTGGCCGCCCGTCCCTCCGGGCCTGGGTCTAGGGCCAGTCACACTGATCAGCGTCTGCTGCTGCTGCTGAGGCACCTGCTGGCCCTGCACCACTGCCTGCTGCAGCCTTCCGCCCACCGTTTGTGTCTGTTGTTGCTGCTGTTGCTGTACCGAGGCTACATCTACGATAAACACAAGTTTACACTTTAGTAGCGTAGAATAAGACGGGTCAATCATAGTTGGCCTCACTTCCATCAAGAGGTATAAGTGAGTCTAATGCTGATGAGGATTGCGGTAAACAATAACGACTTGGTCAGATATCGTAATTTGTACAACTTTAGTATCTAGCCCTCAATCGACAAACGCCGGTTCAACTTCGAGTTAATGCTCAGTACGCAAACGTGCTACTGTTGAGGAGTTAAGTAACTACCAGAATATCCAAAAATCCGTCGAACCTACTTTTGTACACATTGGGTGGAGGCAGTAAGAAATGGATGAATGCCAATGGCCATTAGATGGCCAGACACATGTAGAGCACCACCAACACGAGTGCAAGGGAATTTGACAAGAAGCTGGATTAATAAATTTATACGTACAAGTGACCCGTTCCTGCTGGGTGACACAAGCAGACATGGCGTCTGCGGAAATGCCTCCAGCTGGCGTTGCCGTGCTGTGGTAGACAATCGAGGGGGCGGAGCCATTGCCAGTCATAACTTGTGCTTGCGTGTAGGTCGGGGACCCAAGGGGTGGTCGAGGGGACGCACATTGGACTGCTCCCGAATTCGCAACCGCCCTCATCTGCGCACCACCCGTGCCGATATACTGAGCATTCTAGAACGAACGTAATGCAATAGATTACCGACACACACATACACACGTATGCACACGCTAGAAAGGTAGCACTAGAACATACACCAAGATCTTGAGCAGTAACGACTTGCTGTACGCCTGAAGAGGTTTGAATGATTATTTGTTGATGTCCTAATTGATGCGAGTGTTGTTGCGGCTGGTGATTGGCTTTCACTTGCTGGGCCAGTTGGGCGTACTGCTGCTGCTGACCCTGTTGGCCTTGTGGAAGTGTTTGCTTCATGCCCTGAGCGGCGCGCTGTGGCCTAATGGTTTGTTGTGGCTGCTGCAGGCCCGAAACCTGCATCTGTATTTGTCCGGAGGGCTGTTTATACTGCTGTGATTGAGGTTGTCTGCCCTGGATAAAAACAGAAGACAGTAAACCGCCACCAGTGGGAGAAGGAACGCGGTTGTGCTGCTGTTGCTGCTGCTGCAATTGGATGAGGTTTTGTTGCTGAGACGGCTGGCCCTGTTGCAGGAGCACTTGCTGCGCGGCTGTGGTAGTGACGCCTTGAGTAATTGTGCCCTCCTTGCCACTGCTACCCTCTAAAAGAGCCTGAACACTCTCCGCTGTGGTTGCGGATTGTGCCATTTGGATATCGGGAGCCGAGGGAGCACGAACAATAAACGTTGCTGTTCTAGCTTGTCCTCCTGTGGGCTGTGTGCCTTGGAGTAGAACAGGTGACACCTGAACTTGCTGAGGGGTGCAGACGGATGCCGTTCGATTCTTCTGAAACTGACCTAAGTGTTTAAATATGTCACAAGTTATTACGGGGAAAATTAGGCGCTGCTAGACTGCCACACGCATGTGGACGTAAATGCAATAATCGCATACTACTGCCACAAAACTGTTAGGGCTGAGAGTAACGCCACACACTCACTTTGAGCAGCTAGTAAGGCCTGTTGCTGGTACTGCTGTTGCTGCTGCTGAAGCAAGAAAGCAGGCGTTTGTGGGGCACCTCCAGTTTGCTGTGCCACTGATGGCACTCGTGACCCCGTATTCATTTGGGGGACACCCGGATTTGCGGTCGCAACTAAAACAGTTGCGGCTGTAGAATGCGGAAATAATGGGGCTGCTCCACTAGCCGCATCAACAGTTACTGTCGTGAACTGCTGTTGCTGGGGTTGTTGGCTAAGAGAAGCTGCAGGAGCAACTGCGATCTCGGCCAGCTCGGTTTTTTTCATGCTGCCCTTTGGCGACTTTTGGCTGCCAGCACCCGCCTTGGAGACTGACCCCCCACCACCGATTCCACCTGCCTGATTGGCAGCACGGTTGCCTGGAGATTTCGGGGACTTAGGTTTTCTTTGAGCTCCACCAGTTGGAATAGGCGTTGACCCCGTGGGGAGGAAAGTCCCCGGCATCTGCCCAGTGTCACAACGATTTTGAGAGTTATCCTAGCGCAAAAAACGGTCATTTTATAATTTACCATACAGGAATACATCGGATGAAAATCAAGGACAAGGAGCTACATCCAAGTAAGTTGCAACATGCGAATTAGAATCTGTCCAACATGAAGTTCCCGTGATTCGTCAACTTAGTACATGACAAAAGATACCTCCACAATCTTACCTTGTTCCAATTGGCCTGTTGACTGAGTATATTTTTCACATTTTGCATAACAATTGCATGCTTTTGTTCCTCGTTCAGCCCCTGTTCACTTGGATGTTTATTGGCTTTGCTTTTCCCCGAACTTTTGGTTGGTTTCGGTTCTGGCGGATGGTGAATTTGCTGATGATGAAAGGCCGCCGTTACCTGAGGCTGGGAAACAATGGGTACATTACCCGGAGCAAATCCAATTAACCCTATAAAAAGAAAGGATAACACAGATAAATAACTACATCGCTTTGCTGAAAACGACAGAACACTTTATAAATGTACCTGCGTTGGTGGAAATAATACGTGAGGCCAAACTGCTAGAAGCTCCGTCCAACGAAGAACTAATTGTTGGCTGGAAAAAGAAGACAAATGACTAATATCGCTGATTCCAAAATGAAGGCGGTCACGTAACAATCAGAGGGAACATACGAGACGAGATACAACAACGAAAGCATGTCTGCTGACATACCTGAATACCGAAAACATGGCGAACTACTTCAGGAGAAAGCTGATAGTATTCCTACCGTTGGGAATGAAATTAGGGCCATCGCTAGCAGTGTATGGACTAATGATAGCCAGTTTATATTAGGAAAGAACTAACGAATTCCTAGGTTTAAAAAAAAGACTTACGACAGAAGTCCCGATTCCTCCAAGTTGTTGTGGCAAATTTGGGGTCAACTGCTTTGGTTGAGACTGTTCAATGAGCTGGATGGGAGCGGCTATTGACTTAGGCATAATTGGAGGCTTTGGAGGAGTGGGCTTAATGAGAAGTTCGACGTCATACTTCTCGCAGTCAAGCAACTCTTGGGCTTTTATACAATCAACAACCCAATCTGGAGACACCATTTTAATGTCAGTGAATTGTGATTTGCAACGTTCATAGAAAAGCTAAGTGCAAAAGATATGAATCAATGATACGACTTACCCCAGATGCTCGACCTAAAATAAGGTGAGTTACTGTTGTGTCTAAAAGAGATTTGCAATTCGCTCCGCGGATAGTGAGATGAGCTGTTAGTGTAACAATGTCCTTAAGAGAAACCTAAATTCAAGTGCATAATCGGATGGATGAAAGTGATACCTCTGATATAACAGCTGTAACATCCTTAAATATCTTGGAAAAATTTGGATGAAAGGGTTGAAACCTAAGCAGATGTTATTCAAATCAGTAATAAACATACGGGAGAAACGAGTTTCCAGAGAGTGAAAAACGAACCCACTGAGACTAAATAAATTGAAATATAATGTGAAATGAAAACTAACAGTCACAACTGGAACTGCGTATAGATCTTCCGCTTCTCCGACCTCGCTCGCCTCTCCATCATCGCTAATTGCAAATTTGACACTGTCTGAGAGGATTGGGTGCTTTAAAGCTCCCTGAGCCTTAAGTTCGTCAGCAAGCTAAAATGAGATGTTGGATATGCGAAAAATGGTATCTAATCGCTGTAAATTTAATGGCAAAAAGATCGAAGTTCAAGATAAAAGACAATGTGCGTCGAAAGTATGGTGTACACTGAAGCTTTGGCAAATTTAATTGTCAAGGAAGCAATATATATGAGCCAGTACAAGTGCATAAGTTACTAATAAAACCAATTTTATAAGGTTTGTCATTTATTTTAAAAAAACTACTACTGATGCTTACTGTTTAGAATTAAAAAGCGCAACAAATTGACACAAGCTGTGCAGGAACTGTTGGCTAAATTATGAAGATAACGAGTAAGAACAGCCCGAAGTTCTTAAAAGGGGCTACACATCGACATTTATCGACAATTAAAGTGTGTCAAATAATCGAGAACACTGAAATTCACATAGTAAGCGAAGATTACAATAGAAACACCCTACGGATCGCTATGCTACATTTATAAACATGATATCAATGAAATCGATTATAGGATTTCAATTTGATCCCGCAATATGTCATTAAAAACATTTTACTGAAAGACATTTATGCTTAAAAATCCATTTATACTAAAAATTTCACGAATAACGAGCTTGTCAACTGTCACAAGTGCAATGCGGTGACAGACTAATGTGTTCGATTATAACAGGAAGATATGTTTAATACGAATAAATTTTTTCTAAATAAACTCACAATACTGTCTTTAAAAGCACTAGCAAATTCCATAATGCAAAAAGTCAAGTACATACTTTTTCATCTTCGCACTCGATTATGTAGAAACGTACACCCGCGAATACGCTAGACGCCATAAATGCATGCGAGATATTGCAAAAGGCAGAAAATTAACCCGTAAAGAGCGCCTAACTCTATACATATTAAAACAAATATTTTTTTGGGAATCATGTTCATGTAAGCAATTTGGACGCAAAAAATGTGAAAAAAATAACAAATGTTTGCCGGTCATTCTAGTGTGGAGGAACCAGTTAAATTTTAAGAATAAGTGGTACCTTTCTTAGTCTTTGACAAGTTAAGATCCTGGCTGAACAAGAAATCGTGCCTAGGCTCTACCGCATTGGCAGCATAACCTTGTAGTAATGATCAGTAACGCTCAATATTTTGTGAATTTTGCATTAGAAAATTAAGGTTCAAATATGTAAGACATGAGTCGAAGTAAATAACAGAATTATCAAGATTAGTGTAGGTATTTGGTCTACACCCCATGGCTAACTCATATTTGTTTAGTCTCCGCTGCATACAATAAAATATTCTTTAAGTCTGAGTTAGCTTTGGAATTGCTGGAACCCCAGTAGAACCTAAAAACATTTGCTCAAAAAGCCGAACGCAATTCTCCTGCTTGCAGCAAAATCTGCATTTCCGAGCTAGGAGAAAACAAGACCCAGTGGAGAGAGCACTATCCCACATCGGAATTTGCTTACATATAAATGCATGTGTGTCCTTGACTAGTTGTAATAAGTTTTATTGATCAATCATAGAATCCCACAGTTGAATAGCCACATCGCATGATTAATTATAAAGAGCTTTTGGGGAGTTTTTACGACGGGGGCGTCATCGCAAATTAGTCCATCATCGTTTTGAATGATTAGTAAGCAAAACGTATTCTAGTGTTCTGATTTCATCCATTATCCTAACTCTAGTTCGCATTTCATGCATTGTAAATGTGATCCGCAATGAATTGTCATCAGCTTCCGATGAGTGAAAATTTGTCGCGTTGAACAAAAAGACAATGTGCCTAAGGCAGTGTAGGGATTTGGTGTAAATAGAGCAGCCTTGGAACTTAGTTGTACACAGAACAAAATTTGAAAGAATGATGTATTTTCACGATGTACTTTCATGATGTATCCACCAGGTTTCTTGATTGATTACCACGAAATATTAAGAAAGCAATGCAACTAGAACTCCGTGGAAGTAGAAAAATTTTAATTATTTTTACATGAACTATGCGGCTACGTTGTTAGACAGTGCAGAGGCTTTGTTAGCATCACCAAATAATTCTTCTACTTGATAAGCCACAACAATCGTTTATTAGCACCAGACAGAGCAGCCGACTGCGTTATTGAATCCATTCGACATTCGATGACATTAGATATTCCCATGAATTAGCTCTACTGACGCACATTTGATAAGATTTCATTTAAATTTTTAATTTTTGCATGTGGCAAATGAAATATCAATGGTGCTGTGCTGACATGCATAGCGTTAGCATTTCTCAATAAAGCCATTAAATTTCCCTTCATTGTAGGCCTACATGTTCTTCAGTTAAATGTACTTAGAAGGAAAGATATGTGAAAATTGTTGCACATAGGGTTTAAAAGCATTATTTCCCAATGTAACGGTCTGTGACATGTCAGCACGGCCGAAAATATATTGCCATTCCACAATAGCCGCGGAAAATTGCCATTTAAGGCAGTTTTAAAATAATAAGCTTTGAGTTTCCTTTCGTAGCTTTTCTGATAGTAAAAATCCTTTGTTTATTGCTTGGCCTAGTCGGAAATTTATCGGCATTACGTACCATTTATTCGCATTCCAGTTATTTCTACCTCAATTTTAACATATTGTTCATTGATTGTGCACTATTCTGAAGCCAGATGTACTGTGTTGCAAATGTTGTACTTTTTCTAAAAACTTTGCTATTTATATTGTCATTATACGTGCATTCGCACTCTTCCGTTACTTAAAATGCACGAATTTTCACTAGCTGCAAAATGTTGCAAAGAGTACTTGCATAATATCTTGCTGAAATGCCGACTTATTATGGTCCGTTTACTAGCATCGGGGTGGAAAAACTTCACAGGTATCTTTTTTTTAAAGTCTGAAGAATTTAGACTATTATAAAATTATAAATAGGCAATTTCTACCGCATGTTCTCGTTTGAACTTACTTCTATTGGCAGCATGGTAAAAATAGATAACGAAAAACTTCCGAATAACAGTTTATTTGCTTTAATTTTGTTGCAAATAATATTATGCAAAATCAGCAAACAGGGAGCAATGACTAATTTTTTCCTATATTAATTGACCTCAACTCGGTAATACCTAGCCTTTATGTCTGGCAATATTTCAAACGACTTAATGTTTAGTGCTCTTTTCTTGACAGACTTGCGCCTTTGCTTATTAAAAGTTTACAGTGACATTTGAATTTATTTGTAAATTTAGTCACTTAGTTTGGGGATTTTGGAATGCATACGGCATGGTATTTAGTCGTTTTTAATGCACGGGCGTAATTTACACCCTCGTTTGTTAACCATAACCAGTAAATTAATTTTTTTTTCTATTGCTGGTACTGCAACTGAATGTTTAATTGATAGCATGATAAGGTATCAGTGTGTTAGATATGCCGTCGGCTTGCCCATTTTTAGATGCATAGGACTGAATGTTTACTATAAACCTATTTAGAATAATTAAAGGCCAAATGAAAATTTTCGACACAATATTTAATTATGTTGACTAAATAGATAGCTAATTCGATGTTCTATATGTCTCGTCACTTTGCATAAATAACTGAAACTATATTAATCTCAAAAATCACAAACTCATGTAGTTTGTTCTATTATGTACACTTGAGATTATCCATTAATTGAAATTAATGATAATATCAATATACTTGAGGTTATTATGGTTAATTAGTATAAAATGAACTTTTATGCACATAAATTCTTTAAGCACTATTGCCATTATGCTTACTTAGCAAATATGAACGAGTAATTACTTGTCCTGGGTAGCAGAGTATAGTTTCCTCCTTTATCTGGTAGTTTTTTTTAAATACTTTCTATGCTAAGTAGCTAGCTTCATCCTGAATATTTCTTAGCATATATTAGCTACAAAGGTAAATCATCTAAGTGCACAGGCTACTTTTTGTACACCCTCGGTCAATAAATTTTTCATTTATTTAAAGTTCGGTTAATGAGCTTACCCCTAAAGCGCACATCATATTTTAACCCTGCGTTTTAATTCTAAAGTTCTTAAAGTACCAAGGCATTCATAAATGGCACAGGAATGATGCTGCTGGCACAGTCAAAACATTTTCTGCGTAAGAGTAATTAGACCTGCATAAATCTTTTCTAAACTGCCAGCTAGTCCTTTAGTGCTTTTTTTACTTTTCACTTTAAAAAAATTGGCTCTAATTTTATGGTAGAACTATTTTTTAGAATGCAGGACACTGACCCTCGCAAAAAATTTATTTCGAAGATTTTGGAGGCTTACTTTGGTCTTAGTGGACAAGAAACTAAAGCACTGCGATGTAATTCCAATGTTAATGCATTCCTAGACGATGTTACCGTCAAACTTCTTCTGGTTTGTGTTTCAAGGAATAATGATCTCTTGTTCTGGAGAGAGGTAAATGCAAACTCGTTCAACTCAAAGTCGCTTCTAAAGGTTCAAGACATAAGTCTGCACAAACGAGTTCTTGCCTTTGTGAAAATGGCTCCAGAACCAATTACCCCAGAGAATATTTTTTCAATTATTGTACCTGTTGCTGTACAGGGCTTACCATCCCAAACATTCTACAGCGTCATTTCTAACTTTTATGCGCCATTATTACTAAAGGTTTGGTCATTTCAGTCTTAAATGTAGTAATCCAATGATTCTTAGTGTGAAGGAAAAGTTATGCACCAATATCCTCGTCTTCAAATAGCACTCAGTGATCTAGTTGCTGGATTATCGAAACTTTCAAAATCGCAGGCTATAAGCGAGAGTGAAACCCACACTGGCAAGTCACTGAGTCTTTTTTATGATATTCTGGCATGAAACCGACTTACGTTGTATTAGTACAATTTGACAAGGTTTGTGCCAAGATTGTAGTCTTTAGCAACTATAATAACTTTCAAAATCAAATATTTAATAAATTTCTAAATACACATTGGGACCTAGGTTTGCCCACTTGTTATGTAAATATGTTGGGCTATTTGATTGAGGCATGCTAATTTGACAGACAGGAATATTTTTGACATTTAAGAGACCTTATTGGCTATTTCTCTTCTATTTAACGCTACAGTATTTGAAAATTGATTTCTTTTTTTAAGTTCATTAAAGCAGTAGTGGAGGAATGATTTTGAGAATGTAAACCATCAGCTGTATTTCTTATTTTTTCTTAACAAACTTACTTTATACTGGGCTCCCACTTTTCTCCTTCAAAATTTTATTTGAGATTTTAGGACGCAGGTAACTTGCAGGAGACTTAAAAGAAGCAAAAAGAGGTTATATTTCGCCTTGATAAATTGCCGTTTTATAAACAGAAGGCCCCATTTCTTACTCCATTCAAAAAATTGGTATTTCTAAATACCTAGGCGCTATCTTAATTGTCGACATTTTATATAAATCTATGACTAAATGACAGCAGAATTTCGCTATATTAAGCTGCTATTCTTCCCTAGGAATTTCTGACTGTACTTTTCGAAACCTTATGGTGTAATGTAGAGCTAATAAAACCGTTTAGTCAGAAGTCATTAAAAATGCTAGCTGCTATTTGCTCATAAGTCTAAGCTGCTTAACAATGGTAATGCCATTTCTATTCCAAATTTGCCCACTAGAATTACTAATTATCTTTTGTGTGGGGGACCAACGCAAATAGAATTACGCACGTGGCGACCAATGTACATCCACTTTGCCTAGCAAATTGATTCTGGACTATTTACAGCTACGTCTTTCGTGGTAAAGGGAACTTAGCCTATCTATAAGGTTCTGAATGTTGTGTTTGTAAACATCGTTGAATAGGTTAAGAATTACGTACGAATTTATTTATTTTGAGCGTGTGTCTTCATGTGCCTTCTGTGCGCTTCGGTTTACTGAAATGTACACACCAAAGCAGGCATCTTATTCCTTGATACCACCTCTTGTTTCTTTATAGTTATATTTGATCTAGCCTCCGAAGCTAGTTTCTGGCAACAGAAATCTCGATCGAGTCATTCCATTGGCAGTATTGACAGAAATAACGCCGAGGTCATTTACAAACTTCTCAAGCCTGCAGCTGATGCTACTCAAAGCCTCGAACTTCAAGTGTCTTCCAACTACCAGTGGGAGGGATCTGGAGACACGGAAGAATTTATTGGTTTCCTCTCAGAGACCATTGAATCCGCCGTGCTTGACAGTTTGGACGACGTTTGGCGAATGAAAAATGAGTTAGACGTTGCACCTTATCCAGAGGTTCGAATGCGATTCCTTCTGGAGGCGATCACTGGGTGGATTTGTCGAATTCTCATCTCATATTTGTGCTCTTCGAATGGGTACTCTGAGACCGCAGCAATTTGGAGCAGACCATTTAAGCAGGTTTGTGTAGTGTGCTCTTTCAAGTGGTTGTGTTAAATTTTCCAGAATGTCGAACTGTCAGATACGTAGACTCATGCCCACTCCATGGGCATATACCTTTCCTTCCTGCTCCCTGACACTTCAAATAGTAGAATCAAACCTAATTTGTAAGGTGTTAAAACGACGCTCGTCAAAGCTCTGCTAGCCCCCTATGTTTCCAATTAAATAATAGAATCCCATAAATTTCTGGTATACTCACGAAGAAAGTAGCTATGTCGTCATTCTTCCTTAAATGGTTCCTACCCTTCTAATGGTCCATACAAGTCGAGGACCTTTTTCGTATGCATTAATTTGTGTCATGGTTCGAAACTGCCAAGAGATCCATTGACTGCTGCTATACATAGGAAAGATAGGAGCTGTGTATCCCAATTTGTGTCCACTCGTTTTCTCGAGCTTTTGTGGAAAATTAAAACTTGACTCCGATCTGATCCGTAGTTCTTAATATCGATCCCGATTGTTGTTAGCAAAATAAGTTATAGATGCAGGGATTTGAGATGATAAGACCCAACTTTGCACGATTTTCTGTCGTATTACCAGAATTAAAAGCCAAGTTGTCAACTAATGAAATGGACCATTTGAATGCACTGGTTCGGAGTTGAATGGCCGCTTGAATCGTGGAGGCCTCCATCAGCGGGACCCTAACTTGAAAATCTACTTTTATGCACCACCACTAGTCCATCAAATTCTGACATGCTTACGGGCTTAAAATGTTTTCTTGTGTGATTAGGCTGCATGCAAAGTATGCACTATGGTTTTGTTACGGCGTTTCAAACATTAATTCGGTACCATGAGTTGCATTTCGTTTGAAATTCCCGAGGGCTAGAAGTCACAGTAAACACCAAGCATCCGCTTCTGCTTTGAGATGTATTTTTTATGCTACAAAGTCGGTTGGGGCTCTGGCGTTCGTAAATGTCTGTGCTGGGTTGAAATTGCGCCACTATTATTACCCAGGTATTAAATTACATGACGTGAAAACGCTGCGAAAATGGAAGTTTGATTTATTTTTAAGGTGAGAATTCAAATGAGTCGCGCAATACAACTATGCGAACAATGGGAGAAATCGTGCCTCTTCTTCACTCAACAACTGTGGGCTAGTGAGGCCTCCCATCGCTGGGAAGGGGAGCCGCCATCACTCTCCTACCTGCAAAACTTTAAAAACCGATTGAAAGAGGTTTGTCTTACAGGTTGCCCTCGTTTGACTTGTATTTCAATGTGTGACATTCAAAAAATCCAAAAAGGATTTTTTAGTGAACCGTGTTGGTTCACGTCCGTCAACTCTATCGCTGCAGTCTCCGGCACACAGCCCCCTTTTCATGGGGTCCCATCAAACATGCAGACGCGTCTAATTAAACACCAACAAGGCACATATTCCCCCTGTACTCATCCACCCATCTGGCCATTCCATGCCACATAGAATTGCAGTGCGATATGGGGGCCTTTTGTATTCTCGTCAATGAGGTTTATTAATTTTTGTAGATTTTAAGAATTGTTTGGCTGAAGCATATTTTTTATACAAATACGATTCACTCCTCATATGTAACGGTCGGTTCTTTTTACTTCTGTGTAGCATGGCTCGCAATTTATGGCAAAAGTTTGGAAATCTGAACGACCTAAAATGTGACTTCCAAGTTGAGAAACACACTACATAAGTTGTGAAAAAGTATACTGCTGGGATGCACACAATTGACAAAAACTTGTTTGCTCCATTTCTGGCCTTCAATTTAGTCTCTTTTTACTCGAATGCATAGAAATGTGGTAATAGGTTCTGCATTTAGAAACACACAATTAAGGGATGATTCCAGATATTGGGATCACGTCTTGATTCAGTTACTGTAAACCAGGCTGTTTTTCAGGTACTAAACCTCCGAGGCACTTACGAGCAGCTTGTCTGGGTGTTCAGTCCGCAGGAACGCGAGCGTCTCGGCCTGTCAGCACGAATGGACGACTTTCTGTGTAAGAACTTGCCGACGTTCTCGAAGGTGTCCGCCGACGAGAATAATGTTTTCAGTCAGTTTGTTTACAGTCCACTCGCCTACAATCCGTACAGCTCCGACCAATGGTACATAGCAGTGAATCTCTTCAGTGACAGAATTCGAGCTGCTGAGGAAGCGGCTGTGCCCCACTTGCGGATGTCTCTGTTGTCTATTTTTCAAAAATGCAAGTGCTTATCTACCTACTTCACTGAAATATTGTTTTAGTCCTCCGAACATCCTCTTAATTTTCCTACCTGGAGCCAAAATGAACGAGGACCCTCGTGTGTCCGAGTGTGAAATGATTAAAAGATAGTTGTTTACTGCCTGCATTTGGGATTGATTTAACTGTAATATTTTACAATTACTTTGCATTTGCTTAGGCCTTTACAAAAAGTACAGCTAAATTTGAATTTTATTTCCGTTGATGTAACCACGAGGGTGTTGCCTTTTTCATCAAGATGAATTTTAATAAATACGAGCGTCAAGTTATAAGCAGGGAAAAGGGGTAGACTTAGCTAATTAAAAAATAGCAACCTTCAATGTGCTATATTTAAACTCATAGCTTGTTAAATAATTGTGAAATTTTGTTTACTGTCAGCACGTTTGCTCCAAAGATTATCCCAGTTTTTCAACTTGTCTGTATTTAGCTGGTGAAACCTCGATTGGGGCTTCCCAATTCTTCGTAGAATTTCAGCACTTTGGTGAACTGTACAAAAGGCCCTTGATTGCAAAGGCTCTTCAGGCGGATCGAGAAATGATCTTTGGTTACATCGAGGCTGGCGTAAAGAATGTGAGAATGCCATATTAAATTTTTAATTTACACACAGTCTAGCTTTCAAAATCTAACCTAGAATTTCGTCATGTACAGCAGGATGTAAAAGTATACTCGGTTGAAGTACCACCGCTTGAGCGTTTGTCGTCGTTCGTTGTACTTGGTTTTTCCCACCTCTTTCAGACAGTAAACATACCCTCGGTGTATGAAGCTATAAATAATTTTTTAGCGGAAGTTTTTTCAAAGATCTTGATTATATTCTAGAGGGTTTTAGTTTTCTGGCCTCGGCATTTCTTAATGGGCATTGGTCGCTGCATTCTATGTCTATTAACTCGGTTGCTGACAGTAGGAGGTTTTGTTCACTTGTGACCATCACTTGTAACCTTAGCTTCGAGAGGAATTTTCGCGCCAACCAACGGAAGAACCAGATATCGAAAGTGCAAGTCTCAACTACGTTCGACATGGAAGAAACATTCCCAATCAAGTCGACCGAATTGTCTGGGCAAGTCAGCTAGAAAATCGAACAAGAGAGTACCTAAAGCTGGCTGATTCGATGCTCTATGACCTAGCTAATTATGATTCTTTAAAGGAGGTAGGTTTGTTGTTATTGAATAATGTAAAACTTTATTTAACCATTAGCTGTGATTAGGAGCGTCTGTTATTCTAAGTGCAATATGCATTGCCATGATAGAATTGGTTTAAAAATTGATATTTAGGGACCTGAAATCGCAAACAGCCCCCTAAGTTTTGCTCAAAAACATCGGGGGTGGTAGTACAATCTTTTATCCATAGTATAATCCCCCTCCTTGACCATGTTTAAGGTCCAGTACCTCATTTTTGAGGCAATGTCGCTTTTTTCAGTAATTCTTGGATTCTTTTTATTTTAATGCCATCGAAGTAATTTAAAAGGTTAAGCCAACCTGTTTTGTTGGTTTTAATTTTTTTAAGTAGTTAAGATGTTTTGCATGCAATCTTCAATGTTTTTAGCCGATCCTTAACATGACAGTATTGTGGACAATCCTAAATCGTGATTAACAACCTCAGAGGAAATAGTCAAATTCTGTGATGCTAGTGATGGTTGTCCAATAAAAAAACACAACGCAATTAATGTTAAAAAGGTTGTCGACGCACTGACTTTGCAATTAGATCACCTCATTTTCTAGATTAGAGTTAACACCATCTTGTAAATTACCATTCCAAATTCCTTTTGTACTTGTTGACTTTCAAGTGTAGTCGTGGTCTGTGCAAACTGACTTGTGTCCAATTTTAACATTGCTCTAGAAATTGGAAAGCCTCATCAAAAAGGTTTCAAAGTGGTGCGAGGATCAGTTTCGCGCTTGGTGCCGCTTAAACCAAGCCGCCATCTGTAGGACAAGCGTCTCAGACGGCGCCGAAGGCGCGGGCGGGAGCTTAGAATTTGACGCCTCGAGGACGCTTTTGCGGTTGTCAACGGTGGACGGACACCTCCACGTCGGCTACCCCGATGGACTAGTGAGACTGCAACGTGAAGTGCGTCTTCTTGCCGGCTTGGGGTACCCGGTGCCTCTCCAACTAAATAAAGTTGCTGCCTTGGCTGAAACCATGTATCGACATGCCATCGTTCTTAAACAGGTAACGATGTATGAAAACGTTTTATTTCAGAAGCCATCTTTTTTAGAACAAACGGTATATTTTTGCGATGCATGACTTGAGCACCTGGAATGTCAAATATTTTTTCTTTCCCAGAATATTCGTGAGTGATAAGAAATACCAATAAAATAAAATTGAAGACAACTAAAGAAGGCGGTTTTCTCGTAAATTTATGGCAGTGAAGTAATGTGTCTAAATCGTGCAATTGTTTAAGAATTAGTGGACTTTAGAAGCTCAGCAGTTGTATTTCACGGCTAGAAACTTTCCACTTGTTATTATGAGGTACCTAAGATAAATATATTTCGGCCATTACAACAGAAGCAATTGATTTCTCTTTACCGTATTCATGCATACCCTGTACCTGAATGAAGAACTTACGTTGAACCACACTAAACCTTCTACCGAAACGCAATACGTACTGCTTCAATTTCTCTAGTGGAATCACAAAATTGAGAACAATTGGCTATGTAAATTGGATCAATTTTATGAGGTTGATAGCCAAATTTCTGACATCAACCTGAAGTATGGAAACGTCGTCTCTAAACTGCACTAAATTTTATAGATGATCCTATGCAAACTCTAGCAGCTGCGTGTAATACTACGAAGCTGAATGGCCTGATCATGTTTTATTCTATTGTTAATAATACTGGCAACAGGCATTCAAGTATTTATTTCCACCCTTCCTATCCTAATGAACAAAACGCGCCTAATTTTTGTTGGTAACAGGATTGCCTTCCAAACTAACTACGGCTGAAATATTTGCCACATTCGACGTTTTGCGGTTATGATCCAGATGAAACTTAAGCGACAAGAAAATCGAAGGAATTCCTTCTCAATCACGTCACAGTTCACTCCCGATCCCTGTAATCAGTGTGGTCAAAGACGAGAGGAAGCGACTTTAATGTTCACGTCTGAAATCCAGTCTTGTGTACTTCGGGTTATCAGTTTCTTTGCATTGTTTAGGCATCCAAAGCATTGTCCTTTGTCAATATTTAAAATTTCTATTAATCTTAGGTAGCTCACTTCTACAACTCGATTGACAGCCAAATGATACCCTGTCAAAAGGCCTTGATGCTTAAATCCGCAATGGCGTTTGAGCACCTAATCAAATTCAGCCACCTGAAAGAGAAGGGCGATGGGAAGTTGCCCGCTTCGAAGTGCCAGGAGCGCTGCATCACTTGGAGTCAGGCTGAGGAAGTACCTATTTTTATTTCCAAGCTGCAGGCACTAGCAAGCAACTTGATGGAAGAAAATAGAAGACTTCGAAAAATACATTATGAACTCATTTCCAAGGTAATCTTTCCTGTTTTGCAAAGACTAATGACCTAAATAACAGTGTCTATTTGCGAATTCGTGATAAAAAGTTAGATTTTAATGGGAATTGCTAACATACCTGCAAAATCAAAGGCATGAGCAACAATGAGGGGTGCTAGTCAGTGACAAACTTGATGCAAATCTTGGGTGTTGCTGAATCCAAAATGGTTGCTATAATTATATCAAAGGAACAAATTGAAATTAAGATTATTCTGTCCTTTTGGCACGAGATAGTTCCCAGGGTCCAGGGGATGAAGAGAAGCCCTATTAGGAATGGGAACACGTTGTTTTTCAATCCACCTCACATAATTGTCATGCTTTTTTATTTATTTTAACGATATAGCAATCACATAACGTGATTCTAGAATCATAAAATCTGAATTAAGAGTATTTCAACCAAATAATGAATGCGAATCGGTCCTAGAACGCAGTGTTCGTCCGTTCAAATCGGGCTTGCTTCTGGCGCTTACATCGCATTTCCCAAAAGAATTTTAAGGTTCGCGTCTGGTCTTAATTCTTTTCAGGAAAGCAATACGTATCATCCACAATATCACCAAATTTTGTTTGTGAATATTTGATTTACAAAGCCAGTGTCTATGACAATTATTTGAGCTCACTTGAGACTCAAATATAATATTTCGTTTTTGAATGAAGTCAGTTGGTTGAAGGTGTAAGCTTCTAATCCAAAACGATCGATTTATTTCTTGATTGCGTTGTAATGTTCTAAGTGGCGCGAATTTCAAGATCTGCAAAATCCAATTTCAAATATAAATGCATAATTTGGTCGGTGAACAGCCTCTATTAGGTGGAATGGATCCTTCCGATTGTTCTACGTTAATACTGCAGCACCTAAGACTGTAATATCAACTGCAACTTGAATCAAATCCCAATGAATCAATTATTGTGTTTTTCTAGATTGTCAGTTTAATGGATGTAGATTTGCTCCGACAACAAAACAAGTGGCGGGAGACACTGATGACAATGCGTTGTTGTCTCTCGGAAATAGCAAGTTCTGGCGGCTACCCCGCGGACCATATGGGTCCCTGGTGGGCCCACCTAGATCGGCAGCTCTACAAAGCTCTTGAAATCCAATATCTCTTTGGTCTGGAGACACTCAATGAACGCATGCCAGAAATGCGAATTGAACTTGTCTACCAGCAATCTCAACTTTCATTTCAGCCCCCTTTTGAAGAGGTACGTGTGGAATCAGTTAGCATGAATTTTCGGAGTTAGAAATAGCGTATATTAAATCTGACCAGTAAATGTGAGTGTAATCGTAAAAGCCACTTAGATTTGAACAATTTTCCAAAATTGGACTAGTACTTGCTCACAAACATAAAGTTTATTCACAACCCTAAATTTCGCCTTTGGGGTCTTTAGCCAATCTCATTGGCTGTTGACTACGCCGAAGTTCTTGTCTTTACAGATCAAATCCAAGTACTACCGAGAAATGCGTAAATTCATCGCAATACCTTGCCATTTTCGGGGTGTCTCAGACTTCGGCGACTCGAAATCCCGCACCGAAAACAGCCTTATTTTTTCAAAGATAATCGAAAACCAGTCGGCTGGGTTTTATGTTTGCTACCAAAAGGCGGAGTTCTTATTCTCTCGCTTGCGGGCTTCAATGAACCAATTTCAGGACTGGGTTGCACTGGGTAATGTGGACCTAGAGGACCTTGTGGATGTTCAGTGTCGCGAAATTTCCGACTACGAAAGTAACTTCAGAGTACGTTCGGTCTCAGTAGCAAGCGTCATAGGTTGAATAAACGCTCAATCCAGAGGCAGTTAACTTGCAGGCTTCTTGTTTTTTGTCAGCTGAAACTAGGATAAAAGCTAGTCTTAATGCAAAACAAACGTGCAAGCATTTTTTCTAACATAGCTCTCTTATTGACTAAATTTTACTCCTGATCTTGCCGTCTCAAAACACCAAAGCTCACTTCAAAAGAACACGACAACGGTCAGCTTGATCGTGGTGGCTTATCAACAAAAGCATTTCAATAGAAGCGTGTATGCAGTTTTATCTGAAGGCAGTTAGTGGCAAACATCTAACCGCCTCCGTTCACAAATTCTTCATACATTAATCCACTTACCACAATAGTTCAACATGCCTGGATTGCTAGTGGGTGGATGTCATCTGATCGGGTAATCTGTTTACCATCCTTGTTATCGGCCGCGATGGTTGTCAGCATAAAGTGAAAGTGTAAGGTAACATGGGCGGTTGCCTGGGAGTGGCAGCAGCTGAAAGCTGCTGCAACATTTTGGGGATCTACAACACGGGGTAGTGCTTTTGTCTTTCTAGATTCGAATAAGATTGGTAAAATTCACACATATACTATTAAGTTTGTGACTTTTGAAAAGGTATTTAGAAAATTGTGATCCCCCGACCTACCAGACAAGGCTGTATCCAGTTATTTAGACGCAGATCTTTCAAACCTGGGGCTGTCGTACTACTGAGCTACCGTACTATAAGTAAATGTGTGTACAAAAACTACCTTTGTTTGTGATTGCAATGTAAACGTTAAACATTTTAAACATTCGCTTTATTTACGGAAAGATTGTGAATGCTTTAAACTTTGACTGAATGCTTCTTCGATGCAGGCCTTGAAGCGACGCGGAAGAGCGGCGGAAATGTTGCCGAATGAAATAAAGATAGACTGTTTTACAATAAACTGTGTTTTTGTGAAGAATTCTATTGAACAACTTCTGCAGAACTTGTTTGACGCCTTGGTGAATTGCTTGCGGCGTTCTGTACAAGCGGACTATGTCGCTGCTGATACGTTTCTGTCAGGTACCTAAAATTTGATCTTGTGTCTAAAGGTCTCATCAACTGTCAATTGGACGAATATGACAAAGTACGAAAACAGCGAGATATAAAGTTAATCAGAAGCTGATTGGTTAGGGCCATCACAATTTCATCCTAGCCCAGATGCGGATTAATGTAATTAGGTTTACCGCATGATGAGATGTGCGTTTCCAGCAGTTTCAAATCAATTATCCTTCACTATTTTTTTTTAAATTTGAGCTCAATTTGTTTTAACAGATCTAATTTAATTATTTACACGAAATGGAATTTTAAAAACGTGTCAATGGACCACTAGATGTGCTTGAAAAACGCGGTGCCTGGACCAGAAATTCAGGTGCAAAGTCCGTTATCAGCAGATGGGATGTCCTCCATCTCGCCTAAGTGAATGAAGTTACTAAGCCTAAGTTTACGGTTCTGGTCAATGTGGATGGTCAATCCATCTTCACATTCTCCATATGGCTGTTGCCACCTCGTTAACTAACAGCTCATTTCGTGAAAGCCCGGGCCTAATTTGGCTTAATGTAACATTAAGTAGGGCATAAATCCAGTTTCACGTCAATTTGTGTGCAACAATTAGCACCGAACCACCCTTCAGACGCTGAATGCACCTTTTTGGGCATGCTCTTCTTTTTTCGTAACTCAAATCTATAACTTGTAATAGACTTTAGGTACAACCAGTCTTTCAACTTGATCAATGTGGACTTAACCAATAGTTGCATTTCTTGTGCAATATTTCTTGAGTCAAAATCAAAATTTAGAATCGCCGATACCTTCTTAATATCCATTAGACCAAATTTAATCCCTAACACGTTCTATACAACCATAATTGAAATAGGTCTGCTGCATACTTTTTTTAACATAGTTTAAATGTCCGCATGTTCTTAAATTCATGCACATTTGAGCTTTAAGCGGTTAGCAATTTTGCATCAAAACTGATTGCGAACCCTATTTGCCAAACCATAGGTCTTGCCTACGAATGTGTTGGGAATTCGCCGGCCAGACCGAAAGCCTCCAAATCTGCCTGTGACCACTGCGTCATTAATGCCTCAACTACACACCCTACACTCCCCGGATGTATAACTTAGTTTGGCATAGATGCAACTGAACCCTAAATATTAATAATAGTAATTGCAAATAAACAAAAGGTTATTTTGTTACCACTGAATAAGTTTGCATCTACTGCATGTAAGGTTGAGGTTTGGCTACATCTGAACTACCGTGTATTATGCTGTGACTTACAAATACATAGGTACACTTAGTGTGGGGCGTGGTTTTGCAGGTAATGGTAATACAAGAATCCACCTTCAACCATTTATCACCAAACTTGTTCCACATTTTAGGCGCTGTCGAAAAGCTCTCCATCAGACCACAAACGGTGGAAGAGATGGCAGAGGCGAAGGATAAACACGCCACTCTGGCCAAGGAGCAGTCGCGTTTGGCCGACAGGCTCTGCTGCGCTGAGGCGAAAGACAAGCTTCTGCGTGACGTTGTCGGTGCTGGCGTTGATTCTTTTGCAAAAACCAAAGCCAAGTGGGCAAAATTCCAGTTAATGATGGAGAGCTTTAAGCTTATGCTGAACGAACAAACAGGGGTATGTAGCCAAACTAGCACGCCCGCTTTCAAAATAATTAAAATTTTTAACTTGCAGCCTGTGCCATGCATGTTGTAATTCGTTCCCGTTACGTGACTACCCGTGTTTTTTTATCACTTACTGTAAAGTTTGCGCAAAGGACGAACTTGTGATTAGAAAGTCAGTGATAATAGGAGGAAATGCTAAGTACACTAAACTCAAACCCTAGGTCCACTGTAAACTTAATCAAGTTTTTTTCTGCTTGTCTCCTAATTTATTTGCCTTTGCTTTATTGACTTGTCCTGCAGAGAAATTGCTATTACTTCGAGGATACGCGAGCTGCGGGGCCAGGTCTCGGCTCTTTGTGGTCGATAGCACACTTTTAATTAGTCCTAGACATGTGTCCAATAGTAATTGGGGGTGATTGAAATCACAGTCGTCCATCTTCAGTACAAAATCCATGATATTCCATCGCACGTAATTGCAGTGCCTCAGAGGACGTTCCCGTGTATGCGCCATTGTTCTACCACCTATTTTATGGTGTGCGCCGCGATGTACACATTCGCTAGCGATTAAAACGCCCCACTATAATGTGTTTGCTAATTTTTAGCAGGACTCTTTATAAGCGTATTTCAAGTTCTGCCCTTTGTGTCTCATGTGAAGCAAATAAGCCACTTTTTTTCCTTTTTCATGCACTAATTTCTAAAATGTTATTTTTTCACGCTCCTTCTAGGTTCTGAAGGCAAATATAGAATCTCGTGTTAAGGCTTTTGAAGGGCATCTGGAGAAGTTTTGCGCACGCTGGCACCATTTAAGGCCCTCTAACGAACTGCTTCATTCTGGGGACAGAAAGCAGTGTCTGGAAGCTGTTAAGATCATTCAACATCAAAAGAGTGAATTTGATGAGATTGAAAAGGTTATGACTGATCTCAAGTACGTTTAAGTGTCGTTTTTTAACCCTATAGAAAGTGAGTTGACCGAAGTAAATTTTGTAACTTTTAAATCCCTCCTGGTTCCTACTTTTGAGGTTTCTGTATTATTAAAAATTTGCCTTTAAATGCGTTAAACTGAGTATGTATATATAAATCAAAACACTCTTTCTTTATTTCAGGAGGCATTGTTCTCATTTTGATATTATCCAACCGGACTTCAGCTTAGTCGATGAAATACGATCCAATTTATTGGAAACAGAGGCGATTTGGTCATTGTATGAGAAATTTGCACTTGAAATTGTGGTACACGAAGGTGAAGATTGGATCTCATTCAGGTAAGAAGAAAAAATTATTCTTCTTACTATGCCTCTCTAGAGGCTGTGAGGCGAGTCCGTGTAATTTTTTTTGCAGTGTGCATAATTTTCTTACTGGAGATTCGCCTTGGAGAGTAAGCTACGTAATACGATGACAACTGTCTTATTTGGTGACTCACAACTTAGTAATGTCTTTGAAAGACTGCGTGAGCGCAACAACACGAGGAAATTTAAGAAAATGTCGTTAGGTTATGTCGAATCATTGAATCACTGAAATGCAATTAGATCTAATATTTGAAATGTCGGCGCTCCTTAATACGACGAGCGAAGTCTAGTTGAGCTTTTCGATGAAAACCAACATGCTTAATAATCTTCACGAGCACATCCCCGAATTCCTATGTGAAGTAGTTCCACTCTGACTTTTTTACCACACTTCGCATAGGATCTGTTATTATCACCTCCACTTTGCAAATTCATGCCTTGAGTTGTAACGCATTCACTCACAACGGCTGGATTTGTTGAAAGCATTTGTTTATTAAATAACGGGACCTTACACAACGCCTGCGCTTTTGAAATCCCAGGTCTCGTCTGCATATTTTCGAAGAATTTTTAACAGAATGGACTGACCAACTCAAGTTGAAAACGATAACACCCATGACTGCCCGCTTGATGAGGGAAATTGATCAATACAAGGTGATTTAATCTTCTTTTTGTAGTGTACGTGTCTCAATTGTGGTTTTTTACGAAGAAACTGTTACCGTCTGTTAACTAGCAGGGTTTTGAGGTAGAATAAAGGGCAAAGGTGTTGGTCGACACAGCATTGGAGGTAGGTCTCATCATAACATCGTGATACCGAGTCAATTTTGCTGTTTAAATTTCTGTTTCGCGATTTGATTACCATCAGTTGACCAAGTTACGAAGCATTCTGGGATTCCATCCGGCATTTCTAACATTGAAACATTTTTTTATTATTTGGAGTGTATTTTAGTGAAGTTCGGCAAACAAGGAATTATGGCATAAAATGTTCTAAGTTGGTCTCTTGAATCATGGCTAAACGGATTGCACTTCGTCAGCTTTAAGCAGGAGAAATTTGTTTTAATTTTTGTCAAGAACTTTGAGGTGATTGGAGGAGGGACTATCAAGAGTGATGGACAATTGACCACAAAGTCGCAGTGGCATTTTGTGCCTAGTGATTATGGAAATTTTGGGAAACGGTAAAACACACAAACTATTGGTTTTCAAATTGAAATCATTAGCATCATTTCAAACCAACTTAAATTCGTTTTAACCTGCTCTAAAAGTTTCTTAAATAGAACGAATTCAGTGAATCTTAGTGGACAAACACTGATGGTTAACAGTCCTAAAGGAAACTAGAAAGGTGAGACGAACGTTTATTAGCTCAACCAAGTTATGTTGTCCCGTGCGTCCATTCAAAGGTGGTGCCTGACTAGCGTGGTTGTTGACCGACGCAGCCTGAGTGGGCTTGTAAAAGTACAAACGGCTGAATGACCAGATGAATGAATTGGTCAGTGGGGTTAGTACATGCTCAGTGGCGTGTGAGCAAGTGGTCCCGCGTGCCTAACAAGCATGCGGCGTTTTGGAGTATGCCATGGCCGAGTTCATGAGTGAGTTAACACAATTCACTAAACCATTATTAAACCCTAATGACTTCAATTTACCGACGCACGAATTAATGATATTTGATTCAATGAAACTCCGTCTGTTTAGCTGATATTTTCTGGTGTACTAAGAATCGCTTTCCTTTCCGTCTGACGTCTTGAAACACTCCCAGCACACCATGCTCCAACAAGGTTGCTGGTATATGATTTCGGTCATGTCAGTCTTGCATTTGTAACGTTGCAGCTTCCTCCGATAAAGCAACTTGGTTTTGTTACCCCTGCACAAAAGGTACCACAAATTTCTAATTTGATTGTAAATTTGTCAAACTAGGAATTGCTCCCAGTTCTGAAGTGGGTTCGAGGCGAGGCACTGTCGCCCGACCATTGGGCAGAACTCTTCCGCCTCATCGG